ATCATAGTGTAGGCAAGAGTGCTGAAGGTCTGTGGACTTGGTGGTGGTGGTGGTGGTGGAGAGGGGTGGTGTTAGGTGTGGAATAATAAGCTTCCTTGTGTTGAATTTTAACCCATATTTTAAAGAAACTATTAGAAAAGGAGGTGTCAGCATACTCCAAACTAAAGAGGGCTGGGTAGGCATCAAGTGATAGCATCTGTAATGCAAATTAGAGGAATAATGATTTTTTAAAAAAGAACAATACAGGTATTTCCTGTCATTCCCATTTAAAAGCCTACAAACGCTTCCCAACATCTACAGAAAAGAAGCATGGTATCCCAGGCCCTCCATACCAGAGTGGACTCATTTTGTGTTACAAGTTTTGCTGTCTGCCCCCCCACCTCAAACATTCAAATCTGTTTACATGCACTGATGAGAAAGGATTCTAAAATAGAGTGATTTAAAATCATTTTAACTGCTGTATAATATTCCATGTTATGGATGTACATTATGGAGAATAGAAATTTAGTTTCTATAAATAAGGTCCCAATTAAGATCAATGTACACGTTTTTGTACACACATGTAAGTCTTTCAGTGGGAAAATTCTTATAATTGCTTCAACAAGGTACAATTTTTTTATAGGACTTGCAAAATTTCCCTTCAAATAAGCCGTACCAATTTGCAGGGTCACAAAAAACAAGTTTGAAAGTGTCTAGTTCCCCACGTTCTTGTCATGTGTATTAACATAAGGTGGAAAATGACATCTCATTGAAGTTTGGTTTGCATAATGAAAGGGCTTTCAAATTTATTTTCAGCCAAATATTGTCTACACAAGTTTTATCTTTAGTTCATGTTAATGAAGACTTCTAATCTCTTTTACTCTGTTAACTTTTAGTTTTGGGCCAAAGTGCTATTTTAGTGTGCTGATGTGAGATTACAGCCAGAGGGGAATTATTTGACCCAAAGGCCAGTATTAAAAACAAAAACTGATTTATAATGCTTTTTAATGGTTGAGCTTTTAAAACTGTATATGGGAACATGGTTTAGTACATGTTATATGTAACTAAATTTTGCAGGCACTCTTATTTTCCTCCTGAACCTGTGGGAAGAACGCAGCCTCAACTCCAGCATGTGGGGCCACGCAACAGACCTTAATGCGGGTCAGAAAAGTCCAGTCATTACTTGGCAAGGCGTTCATCCCCTCCACACCTCATTTGTATATTGAGGGTTTCCATTAAAGACAATTGCTTTGGTCCCTTGCTGTTCTTAATTCTACACTGCTACACTGTTATTTAATTGCCGGGCTGGAGAAAAGGCTACCGCTGCTGACAGTGCTGTGGGAAGACAGCAGAACTTTCCACAGCGAGAGTTCTCCCAAATATGAAATCAAGTGGGAAGCATTTCAAAACCTAACGGGGATGCCGCGCTGCAGCTCTGTGGTCTTCACCTAGCTGTTCAGAGACCCTGTTTTCTCAGTCTATACATAAAGATGGAATTAGTCAGCCGGGAAGGCGGTGGCGTGATCTAATAATACGGCTTCCAACATTCCCAGATTAAATTGTTTTCCATTTGCCTTAAAAACAACACAGAGGAAACGCGCTTGAGCCTTGGCAGGTGAATTTTACAGTCCTAATCCCGGATATGAAGCCGCGTCTTAACCCTCGGCTGGCGCCCACCACGTGGGCACACGAGTGCCGAGCAACTCTGGACCAGCTGTCCCGATCTCCCCGCGCCCTCTGTCCCCGGGGGTGGGGTGGGGGGACCGCAGAGCAGCTGCGAGGGCGGAGGCAGGGCACCGACACTAGGCGGGGCGGGCGCTCCCTAGCTGCTGTCTCTTGAATTCAGTCCCTGTCCAGCACCCAGGAGAGGGACCCCTACTAAGTGGTCTGTCCTCGCTCCACTTGGCAAGAACGCGTGCGTGTGGAAAAGCAGAAGCAAAAAGCGGAATATGAGTAGTTGGTGACCAGCCAGGGGCTGAAGTTCACCCTAGGAATATGGCCGGAAGGGAAGGAGAGCGGGGCGGGGACAGGGATCCACTAGGGGAACCCCCGGCGTGGGCACGGGTGGGGTGGCCGGGGTCTCGCCCTGATCGCCTCCGCAGCGCGGGGTTCTGCGGGGCTTGGTGCGACGGCACAGGCGCCCCCGCGCCTCGCCGCCCCGTTTAGTGAGGAAATGTGACTTGTCTGTGCCGGTTGGCGCCGCGCTTTACCAAAGACCTAGAAAAGCAAAGGGAAGCACAGGGGGCCGCCGGGGCCAGAGGCCAGGGCTGCAGTCGGCCGCGCCGCAGCACGCCGCCCCGGCCCGCCCCTGCGCTGCGCTCAGCTTCGGCTGCGCCCTCACTTCCGCCCCTCCCGGGCTTCATACCCCGCAGGTGCGCCGACCGAGCCCGGCTGGTGGTGAGGGGCCGAGGGGGCGAGACCCCGCCGCGAGCCACACCCCGGCCCTGCCGCTCCGCCGCCCTGTGGCCACGCCCCGCCCGCAGCCCCTCCTCCTTTGTGCGGTGGGCGCAGTTGCTCGGGTGATGGTGCCGCCCCCGCCTCGGCCTCGCCCCGCCCCTCCGAGACGCTCGCGCCCTGTCCCCGAGCGGCCGCCCGCCCAGCCGCAGTCCGCAGGAGCTGCCACAGCCGGCAGCGGCGCGAGTTTCCGGGGCCGTCGCAGGGAGTAAAGCTCCTCTCTGCGCCTGTGCTCTCGTGCGCCCTGGCCTCTGGTCACGTCGGTCCGCTGGCCGGGTCCGGCTCACCCGCTCGCCCTCCGGCTCGCAGCGAGGCTCCACGGCCAACGCAGGGACCCGCCCACCAGACCCTGCCTGGCGCTCGTCTGCCCATTTGGCCCCGGCCGTTGATGACACCTGGCAGAAGGCTAGCATGGAGGGGGATGGTTCAGACGCGCCGGTGAGTGGGGCACAGGTGCGGCCGCCCCGCGCCCGGATGGAGACGCGCCGGGGCCCCTGGGTCTCTTCCTTCTGCGCCCCGCTGGGAGGGAGCCACTTCTGCGGAGAAGCGAAGGCTGCCTTGTGGTGGCCCCGCTTCCTCTTCGCCTTCCCGGTCCTGGCTTCCGCAATCCGGCGCGCCCCCTTCTACCCCTCGGAGGGTCGGACTCCGGGTTACCTGGGCCCGGAAGAGGGCGCCGCTGGGGTGCGGTTATCCCTCCTCTGAGCACCTGGGGGAATCCGGGCGGGACTCTTTAATGGGGTTCAGGTTCTAGAATGAATTCACTTCAGGGAATCTGGTGCCTTTGGCGGCTCGGGGCGCGTGTCCCGCCGCCCTTTGTCTGGGAGCGCGGCGGGTCGGCGCTCGAGTTCCAGCAGGACCTCTGCGCTCGGCCCGGTCCGGCCGGCCTTGGCCGCGGAAAGGCTCCTCTCCGGCTCTGCCACCTGTCGGGGTCCAGTGGTTTTATTTGAAGGGGTTGGATAGGCTATTCTTAAAAACCTGTTAGCTTTCTGTCGAACCTCATTTGTTTTGAAACCGCTTAATTTTGGGAACCACCACATCACATTTCTCTTAATAAGATTGTTTCCATTCAATGAATGTAAAATGAACACGAATTTAACTTCTGGGTAAAAATTATATCTGTCGTGCTTAAAGAGCTTATGTACTACTTTATGTACAAGAAAAATGGAAATGAGTTTAGATCTTTTAGTGGGAGGTAAACCTCCCATAAAATGGGATGTGAAAACCTATTTTGGATATTCAGGACAATATTTTCCTTCTAATTAAGTGTCAGTTTTCGTGTGAAATGAGATAGCATGTAAATATTCTGTATTCTTTGATGTGAATTGTGAGGTGTGGCTGTCTTCCAAATTTACTCAAATTGTGACATAATGTGGGCTTTTATTAAATACAGGGTGGGGCAAAAGCAAGTTTGCAGTTGTTCGTATGGAAAATTATACAATAACTAATAAATTATAATAGAAGAATAAATTGTTTTATGTACTCTCAACAGTAAACCTACTTTTGGCCCACCCTGTATTTAGTGAGTGATGCAGCAAGAAACACCACAAAGACTCATTGAGCCAGTTGGCTGTAGTGCTATTGTCAGGGATTAAAGCACTTTGTGTCACTTTAGGGGGAGTAGAATGGCACACATTTTTATTTAATTAAAATAAGTGACTTAATTCAATTTTAATTTTCTGTGTATTTCTGGTAGTTGAAATGACGGTAAAAGGTTATGAGTACTTTAAAGTTGGACTATCACCAAAATTGTGGGGATTCATAGCCCTTGAAATTTGGTATACGTGGGGAAGAAAACCACCTTAGGGAAAAGATGGAAAAACTGGTATGAGGTTATCAAACCCTTTTAGTTGTGATAAGAGTCTGAATGTTTCTCATTGAAAATAACTCAAGCTTGTAGTATTGAAAGCACTTATAATGGTGCCTTCTAATCCTCTATACCCTTTTAATATTTATAAAGTGCTTTTAAGATAACTGCTTTGATATTTATGTAGCATGAGAACCTCAAGCATTTTACCTACATTACAGTTGTAGCATATGAAAAATGGTCACATTTAATGTAGAAAATTGCTGATAATTCAACTTGTCAATAGATTTCAAGTAGGGTTCCATGGATGTACTAGGTAACCTAGTTTTGACCAGCTCTTATTATTTGCTACTCACAAAGTTAATGTGCTGAATAGGAAAACAGCCTTATTCTTAGTGCTATAATAGTTTTTATTGAAGGAATCTGCTTTTAGAATTTTACTGAAGTCCTAAATTAGTAAATTAATGATGGTTTGAATAGCTTCATAATTGATGAAATATTATGGTCCCCTAATATTTTCTGCTAGTTTTTCTTAAATTTCTGTTTTTGCCATCTGATGTCATTTCAGTTCTAAGCTACTGGGTACTGAGAGGGAGGTTGATGGTGTAGTAATTATAGCCAAAAAGGAACTTCAGATTTTTAAAACTCTGTTTATTTTTGGAAAAGTAAACACATGTACTTCTATAAGAGGTATAAATATGTTAACATATTTACCCACTAAGAGCCTTTGATTCTGATTTCTTTTTTTTCCCCCCAATTTAAGGTTACCATTAAGAATATCGAAAGAGAGCTCATTTGCCCAGCATGCAAGGAGCTGTTTACCCACCCGTTGATTCTCCCTTGTCAACATAGTATTTGTCATAAGTGCGTGAAAGAACTCTTACTGACACTTGATGATTCATGCAATGACATGGGATCAGACAACTCCAATCCAAGCAGTCCTCGACTTTGGGTCCCCTCCCCTAGCATGGATAAAATTGACAGGATTAACAGACCAGGTATGTGGTAGAACCTTGGGGTTGGGGAATTTCACTGATGACAGTGGAAGGGGTATTATTTCTGTTGTTTTCAGGGTTAATCTTTCCAGGTGAATAAATTAAAACTGTACTTATACAAGAATCCCTCCCCCTTTTAAAATATCAAAATGAACTCTTGTCTTTTGGTATGCATTTAAAGTTGAATATTGAACAGCAATTTTGTGTTAAAACCTTTAACTGTGTCTTTTAGAAAGAGTGATATCCTTTACAAGAGGTATAAAGTAATGGACTACTGAAGTGTTTACTAGGAAAACATCTGTACATGGTAATTTGTAAATAAATATGCAGATTAAGTGATGAGACTACATGCTGGCTAGTCCTAAAGGACTTTTTTAAAGGAATTACTTCTTATCATTTTATTCCACCTGAGGATTTTATTTTCTTCAGCCATTTTTAATTTTAAAAATAAGGATTTTGAACATTCATTAAATAGTAGTGGAATTCTGTAGTAATGATAGAAGTAGATCTAATGAGAATAATAGCACATATACTGTACTTTTATTATATAGCTAATGTTTAAATTGCTTCCTGTTGGGATAGTGTTACTTATTTTGGACATCCATAGTAGGATTAATGTTGATCTAAATTAATTTGAAATTACTGGAAACAGGACCACTGAAAAATTAAAGGCCAAAGTCAGCAGTGAGGACTGAGGGGAGGCCTTGGTAGAAATACCACAGCATCGTGTTGGGCACCTTCTTTGTACCGAGAGAGTGTTTGAGTGGCCATAAGCACCAGACTTCAGGGCTTCAGCTCTGCCCAATTTGGGCTTCGAGGTTTTAAGTTTAATCCTTTTCTCCACTCTATCTATTTCTTCCTCTTATAGCATAGGAGTAACTTTTTTAATCTTATTTAAAAAAAAACCTTTTCTTATCAGAAAAGATTCTCTCCTTATTTACATTTTGGAGAATGTCATCTTTTTTTGGCCCATAGAGTGCTCCATCAGAGAGTGGATAAGAGTAGATTTGTTGTAAGACTAGTATTATGCTATTTAAAAAATATGTATTTTTCTTTAAATGGTAATCGCTGAGATATTTTACACATACAGAAATTATACATATACAGTCATGTGCCACCTAATGACGGGAATACATACTCAAAGCCCTCATCAGGCGATTTAGTGGCTGTGAACATCATAGAGTGTACTTACACAAGCCTACTACACATCTGGGCTGTATGGTAGAGCCTATTGCTCCTAGGCTGTAGGCCTGTACAGAATGTTACTGTGCAAAACAACATGAGATTGAATGAAGTACCAGAGATAATGATGCAATCGAGAGACACGGAAAACACGAGATGTATGAGGCTACTGCCGGAATAATATGGCATACTGTTTTACAGATAACTTTTTTATACGTAGAAAGACTATAGTACAATAAATACATAAACCAGTACCATGGTCATTTATTATCATTATTAAATATTATGTCCATTACATAATTGTGTGTACTAGACTTTTACATGACTGGCAGTAGGTTTGGTTACACCAGCAGCACCACAGATATGTAATGCATTGTGTTACAGCATTAGGGCAGCTATGATGTCACTAGGCGATAGAAATTTTTCAGTGTCATCATAATCTTATGAGACCACTGTCCTATATGTGGTCTGTCACTGACCAAAATGATGTTATGCAGCAAATGACTGTATACAAAAAAGGAGCATTATAGGTAACTGTGGGAGTGCAGGGAGTATGAGGTCAGAGAGGGTTATGCTCATTGTGAAGTCATCAATTTTGTTTCCCTCCCTGCTAGGTGTCCCAGTTACTGGTACACTGACAGTTACTGGGGAAGAAAGACAGTAACAGACTACCAGATAAAACTCAATATTCTAGATCCTCATTGGATAATAGGCATCCCTGCTAATATTTGGCACAGACCATTAAAAGGAATTTTAGTTGTGTACTAGTATTTCTGATTATAATTAGATTGAGCTCACATATGTATTGTATGAAATCCTGCATTTTATATAGGCTTCTAATCTTAAGATTTGTTTAGTTTTGTATGTGATTAATGTGAAATAGGAATGAAATATAGTGAACTGTTTCTGTTTTGGGGAACTTACCTACCACAGTATTCAGTAGATGTTTAATAAATATGTGTTGAGTGGTTGTTAAATGAAAAACCTCTGCTGCAAGATTTGTTCAAAACATGCTCTAATGCATATATTCAATAATAATGGCACCCCCCCCCCCCAGAATAGGAGAACTATTCCACCATACTTTACTGTCTAGATAAAAAATAGAATTACTGAGATATTCCTCCCTCTTGTTTAGGAAAAACTCTATTAAGTTGGGTTATGTGGTGAGGGAGAAATTAGGAAACTTTTCAGTGAAGAACAATTATACGAAGCAAGAATATTTAACTTGGAGAAGGGATGACTGCAGAAATGTTGGCTGTCTTGTGGAAGAGAACAGTATACAGTATATCTTCACGACAGAGGTTCCAGATCAAGGAATACATGAAATAGGAAGGCAGATTTCACTGTAACCTGAGAGAAAACAAATACCTAAGGCTGTCCAAAAATGAAATGGGCTTCCTAATTTTGTCAGATCACTGTCACTAGAAGTGTTTAAATTAGAGGTCAAATTTAGATGGCACCGGGGCCAAATAGGTATATTAATGAAGCAGGCTCCAGGAAAATGCATACAGGACCCTCTCTCATTTTACTTCTTTGATATAGGCATAGAGACAATAAATATTTTATTTTCTCATTAACTACAATAAGAAAACCAGCAGCTCAAGTGTCAGCAGCCAACTGACTCTAGGCTGACCCTGTTGGAGGTAGTGGGTGTGGTTTGGAACTGTGGAGACTAGAATGGATGCCTTGTCTAACAGAGCAGTAGCCATTTGGCACTACTAAATTATCATATGGGCTTGGGGCTTCAGATTGTCAGATTTACAGTTTTTTTTCCCCAACAAAAATCTGATAGTGGTTTTGATGCAAAGTCTGTTTTTTAAATGTTGGCAGTTAATTCAAATAATTTAAAAACACCATGCCAGCCCAACACAGGGTCAGGGTAGCCAAAACACATCTTTGACTCTGACCCATTCAGCTTTTGGGCCGTCAGTATTTAGATTCTTAGTTTTAATGGATGGGTGACCATCATTTGCAGATATTGTAGAGGAGAGTTCTGCCTTGGGTGGTTGGTCAAGTCAGTTATATCATCTTCCATGTATTCTCCACCCCTGAAATGTGCCTTTTTTTCTTAGTCCTCACCCGAGGACATTTTTTTTTTGATATTTTGTTCAGATAGAGTGGGAGGGAGAGAGAGAGAGAGAAACATCGACGTGAAAGGGACACATCGAGTGGTTGGCACCCACACGACCCAACCAGGGCCGGGAATAAACTGCAACCGAGGCACATGCCCTTAGCGGGAACCGAACCCGGGTCTCTCCGGACTGCAGGCCGACGCTCTAACCGCTGAGCCAAACTGGCCAGGGCTGAAATGTGCCTTTTTGAGTACCAGTTGCATTCATTCATTTGTAAAATATTTAAGTTACCTGCTAGTTATGAGACATGGTTAAATGCTGAAGAGTAATGGAAAAGATAGACCCATCCCTCTTTTATTTATTTTTAAATATTTTTTCTTTATTGATTTTAGAGAGAGAGGAAGGGAGAGGGAGACAGAAACGTCAATGAGAGAGAACATCGATTGGCCGCCTCCTGCATGCCCCCCCCTGGGGATTGGGCCCATAACCTGGGCATGTGCCCTGACCAGGAATTGAATTGGTGACCTCTTGGTGCATGAGTCAACGCTCAACCACTGAGCCATACCAGCCAGGATCCATCCCCCCCCCCCTTTTTTTTTTTTTAAAAAAGGAAGCATATAGGCTAACACTGTACAGAAAGCTTCATAAGAGATGCGATAATTAGAACATCAAGAACATATAAAGCAAGTTAACAGATATAGACAGCACTCAGGGTGAGAAGGCTCCAAGTATAGTAGTCAGTCCTGATGGTTTTTAGCAAATGAATGCAAATTTTAGGATTTCCTACCTCATGATCACCAGTTTTAAAATAGTTATCCTCCATGTATGGGGATTTTGCCTATAACTTTTCTTTGAATAAATTCAAACATAAATTCATGGTAAGTACTTTTCCCTTTTTTCCTGGCTGGGTTTTCTTTTTCTTTCTTTTTAATCATTTAGACATGCTTAAGAAGGAAACCAGAGACCCTATTCTGAGTAATTGGTGTGGGAGGAATAGAATTCTAAAAATTAGTTTTGCCATTGGTTTAAGAAAGGGGTTAGACTGGACTGTCTGGTACAGTAGCCACTAGCCACGTGTGGCTGTTGAGCACTGAAATGCTCTAGTCTGAATTGAGATGTGCTCTAAGTGTAAAATACACACTGGATTGTGAACTCCTAGAATGAAAAAAGAATATAAAATCTCTCTCTGATTTTTATATTGATTACGTTTTGAAGCGATAGTATTTTGGATATATTGGATTAAGTAACATGTTATTAAAATGAATTCCACCTGTTTCTTTTTTATTTGGCTACTGGGAAATTTAAAATGACACGTGGCTTAAACTTTTGGCTCACATATTCCTTAGAATAGGACTTCATTGGACACTTGACAGATTTTAAAAATAAAAGGTGCCTTGATAGGAGAGGAAGATTTGTGGATATAAAAATAGCATATTTAATTATGTAAAAATAAAAGAGCTATATTACTGTACAGTTTTGGTCATATATATGTAAACTTTCCCCCTATTTTGTATTCCCTTTTGTCAGAAAGATATAATTGATATTAGTAACGTTTATTTACAGTGTTATTTATATCAGTAAGAAAAACAAACAAATGCTTGATTTTACTTTGTATTTTCAATGGTTACCAGAAATATGGTTGTTTAAAAGTACAAATATAAGATAATGTGTAGGTCTCTTAAGTGCTGCACCAGTAATGATTAATTCTGAACTTTAAGATAAGCCGGATGGTGTTTTACAGTGATAACTTCATAAATACCATGTGTACCAGGAAAAACACATTTTCATTTTACTGTTAATTCAAAATTGTATTATGTGCAGAACAGTTACTGCTTTATCTTATGTTAACAAGTTGTGAACCTTCTCTTTTAAATTAAATTCTAAATCCAGCTTTCTGTTCATTGTTCACAGCATCACAACGGAGATCTTTGGGGTGGAGAGGTAGAAAATGCTTTATTGCTTGTGTGGCCGCAGGCAGTATAGTGTTAGATTTAAATAACGTGTATAGATAAGGTTTTAAACATCAGTGGTCAAGTCTTCAAAATTTTGTAGAAAGTGAACAAATTGGGCTGAATGACTTAAAGGTCAACAGGACTAAATTTCTAAGCAAATTCTGATGTTTTTAAAGGGAGCACTGATTATTAGTGCTTGCATCTTGTCCATATACAACAAGGTATTTTTTTTTTTTTTAATGACATACTCCTGTTAGCCTTTTATTTTCTTGATATTTTATTTATTTATTTATTTATTTATTTATTTATTTATTTATTTATTATTTTATTACAGATGGCCCTCATTCCCCAAATTCTTTACATTTCCTTAGTGGAACAAAACTATGTTAACAGCCATAGGGCTACAAATAAGCCAGTATTTTCTTCTCTATTTAAAAATTTACTTAAAAATGTTGATAATTTTTGTAGTTAAAAACATAGCCTTTGCTTGTTTTATGCTTATGGTGTCTTTTGTTAATGGCTTCAAGTATTTGAGTTGTAACGTAGAGGTCTTACCCTGGGTAAATAATGCACAGGGCTTTTTTAGCATTTCTGAAGTATTTGATTCTTTATGAAAGTTGGGCTAACCTATCTTATTTCAAAAAAGATTTTTTTTTACTCCAGTTGACCTTTAAAGTAAAATTGGCTACATTTTTGTGTGACATACTGGTGATACCTTACATCTTATTGGAGAAAATAAACATCTGAAATGTTATCCCTTTTCTGTCTTCCTCACCTTTCTCTAGATGCCTTGATTTTAAAATCTTATAATAGTCACTTCTAGAAGCCACATGTAACCATTTCTCTTACAGGCTTTAGTGAGTCCCTGAGAATTTTAAATATTGAGATTTAGCAATTAGGAGGAAAGGTAGGAGCAATTTGCTTTTTAAAAGTTCATTGCTTATTACCTGTTTATGATTAAGGCAGTAGTTGAGAAAAACAAGTTGAAAACACTAATAATACTCAAAAATTAAATATAACTGGTAGGAATCAGACAGTCAGACTGTGTGGAAAGAAACATTAAGGTGGTAGTATAATACATCAGTCCGTTGCCAAACACCGAGAAGCCCAACATGAATGTCCCGTGTGTGGGGAGGTAGTCCACTGACTGACAGGTGGTAACTGGGGAAATTGTTTTTCTCCAGAATGTGGAAGAGGATGCAGCTAGCAGAGTTTTTGAACCTGTTATGGTTTGACTTTCTTTGTTTTGAAATACTTTCTTTTGTCTTTGATATTTAAATGTTAAACATATGACTGAAAGCTGACTTGGTGGGGGAAGAGGAAGATTTATTATAAACCAATTTGAAGAACTTTTAGAGTCTTCATTTTTAAATTGTATTGATTTATACTTGATTAATTTGTTTTTGAAATAAAGGTGTATGGGTAGAAGAATTGATTTTTCAAGGTGACAGTATTCAAGTCATTTGCATATATTATTGGCCCCACAGATGCAGTTTGACATAAAAATGCATTGCTTGGCCTACATTGCTTCCTTCCTTTTCTAAGCCATTACTTTACTTTTTCATTATATCATGCTATTGAACAGTGTTGTCCAGTGGAACTTTCTGCAGTCATGGAAATGTTTGACCCTGCACCGTACAGTATAGTAGCCACTAGCCACATGTGGCTCTTGAGACTTTGAAATGAATTAAAATTTTGTTTGTTTGGTTAATCTTCACCCGAGGGTATTTTTTCCATTGAATTTTAGAGAGAGTGGAAGAGAAGGAGTGGGGGAGAGTGAGAGAGAGAGAGAGAAACATGGATATGAGAGAGACACATTGATTGGTTGCCTCCAACATGGGTCCTGACAAGAGCCAGGGATCAAATCTGCAACCCAGGTATGTGCCCCTGACCGGGAATCGAACTCTTGACCCTTTGGTGCTTGGGCCGACGCTGTCTACTAAGCCATACTACACTGGCCAGGGCTGAAATGAATTAAATTTAATTTCAATAGCCACATTTGGCTAATGGTTACTAACTATATTAGAAAGATCAGCTATAAGGAGTAAAAAATTGACTATTTTTAGTTCCAGATCTTGATTTTTTTTCGTTAGAATTACTTCCCAGAATATCCTTAGGTGTTCTCCTTATTGCCTGAACATATATTCTGTTATTTGTTCTTATGAAAACAATGGTAGAAGTATAAAGACAGATGAAATAAAATATATTAATTCTTTAGCATTTGTAAAAATATTTGAGAGCTTTTAAGATCTATTTAGAAAAATAGACAAGGTAATAATTGATTTACTATTTTGTCTGGTTTAAGAAGTTTAGTATGATGCTTTACACTTTATTTTTTATTATAAAAATTACTTATTTATTTATCCTCACCCGAGGACATTTTTCCATTTTTTGTTCAGGTAGAGTGGGAGGGAGAGAGAGGGAGAGAGAGAGAGAGAGAGAAACATCGACGTGAAAGGGACACATCGAGTGGCTGCCACCCACACGACCATCCAGGGCCAGGGACAAACTGCAACCGAGGTACATGCCCTTAGCGGGAACCGAACCCGGGTCTCTCTGGACCACAGGCCGACTCTCTAACCGCTGAGCCAAACTGGCCAGGGCTATAAAAATAATTTAAAAGAGGTTTATAGAAAAGGGATGAAACTCTTTTTTTGAAAGCCCAAATCTGGGTGTCACCAGTGTACTTGTTAAAGCATGATTTTATTGTCATGATTTAATTTTGTTTTATCCCATTACTTAATTGATCACAACCTTCAATTCATAAAACCAATAATAACCCATTTAAAAACAAAATAAAACATTGACTGTTCAGACTAGTTAACCATTTTAATTTCTATCATCTAGTTCATATGTGGAAGCATGCAATTAAATGTGAATTTCCATTTGCTTAAACTTGACCACTGCACTGTATCAATTCTAGAATTATTTGGCTTGTTTTTTCACTAAATGAAATTTTCATTGGCATGTGTTTTAAAAACAGCTTTGCTGCTTATTTCATTATATGCCTGCTGTGTTGTGAAACATCTTGGACTGTATTGCATGTTTTTAGAATTAGTACAAGAATATATTTCATATAGGATTTTCAGATTTTTGGGGGCATCTTTTTGTATGCTTTTTTGGTGTGTGTTTAAAAATGTTAAGGTTAAAATATCTTTAAATGGAGATATTAAAAATATTTTGCATATTTTTACATAAGTAGCTTTCAGGGCCCAGTGCCATCTAGCATGTTGTAAAGTTACTGTAAATGAATAATATTGTGAAATGATCGCCAAATTTTATCTGTACATACATATATCATGCCAAATATTTTTAAGACAGTCTTTTCAGTAATGATAGTAATGTGCCACACAAGGCAATATTAATATAACTGTTTAAAGACCTTTTCTAAATGTGGTATACTTAGTTTAACCATTTATTTTTGGTACTGGATGCATAGTAGTATGAAAGAAGACTGTAGCTTAAGAATTTTGTATTTTTAGGTAGTTATTTTGTGGGCAACCAAGGTTACATACTCTAAGAATAGATTTATAAATGAGAGGAGGGACTATGGTATGCATGCTCCTATGTTAAATGGACAAGCCCAGATTCTTGTGAACCTGTGGGTAAGGACTGTCGTGTCTTGGTTTCTTGATTTGTTAAAATGAGGGCATTACTGAACTAAAGTGTGACATTCAAGGTCATTGTGTATATACTGTAAAATTATTTGTAATACTTGGGTATCTTTTGGCTTATTGAATTAAGTAACTTTAATGATTCTTTTTTTTCAGGTCATAAGAAGATATTAAATGGTTGGTCCCTCTTAAAGTCACTAGATTCTAGGTCTATGAATGAACTTTTCACTCTTATAGATTGCACTCAATTAACAAATGATTTTTTGCTTACTGAATTTTATAGATTGCACTCAATTAACAAATGATTTTTTGCTTACTGAATTTTCCCAGAAAAAAAGCAATACTACAGTGGGAAACCCTCTGTTGCTGTGATTCTTAACAATTTGGTTAACATTCCTTTGAGAATCTAATAAAAGCTATGAATTATTTAACCAGAAAACATCCATAGGTATATAAATGCAAAATTTGCGTACAATTTCAAATAGCTTGCAAAACTATTTGGAGCTCTTTGGAGCCTATTCATAGAGCCCCAGTTTAAGGACTCCTGCTTTTTAATGTGTGAATCATTTTTTAATCATGCAGCCAGTGCTATGTTTGTTTAAATGCAAGTCAAATTCCTTTGGATATGATGTATAAAAATAACTATAAATGATAATTGTATAACTTCTGACCCTTTGTAGTATTGTATTATATATTTTGTCCATATATCTGTTTGAATTAAAATGGTTTTTATATGGGATTTACTAAAGAATATTTTCCTTTCCTCTTTGATTTTAATAACTGTTTAATAACTTGGGTCTGTCTTTTAGTTACCAAGGCAAAATATTTTTTCAAAAAGCATTTTCATAAGATGAATTGATGCAAAGGGAAGCCACTTTGAGTATTATAGTTTTGGAATATATTTATAGACATATATCTTTACAAAATATCACTCCTTTTTTCTTCATTCTATTCATTTTCCTACTGATGTAACTAAACAATGACTCACTAATTACACAGGCTGGAAGCGCAATTCATTGACCCCTAGGACTACTACTTTTCCTTGCCCTGGCTGTGAGCATGACGTGGATCTTGGAGAGCGAGGAATCAACGGTCTGTTTAGAAATTTCACTTTGGAAACTATTGTTGAAAGATACCGGCAAGCAGCCAGGGCAGCTACAGCCATTATGTGTGACCTTTGTAAACCACCACCTCAAGAATCCACAAAAAGTTGCATGGACTGTAGTGCAAGCTACTGCAATGAATGCTTCAAAATTTATCATCCTTGGGGTACTATAAAAGCTCAGCATGAGTACGTGGGCCCAACCACTAATTTCAGACCCAAGGTAAGTGAAGTTTTTATTCTTAGCATATCAAACTTAATATTATACAAGGAATTATTGCAAGTCTAGAATTTGACAGTAAGAAAGAAAAGAACTTTAAAAGCTGGTACAACAAATTAAGGCCTAGCAGTTGGAGTCATTTAGTATGTTACTAAATATCCCCATAGGTTAGAAGGGGGTGTTGTGGTTCACTCTATTATAGTACAGTGTAATACAACACAGTATATGAATATTCATAATGATAACTCCAAGTAATAGAAGGAAGGTGATCCCAGATGTATTTTTTTTTGTCTTTATCCTCACCTGAGGACATTTTTCTGTATTTTGTTCAGATAGAGTCGGGCGGGAGAGAGAGAGAGAGAGAGAGAGAAACATCAGTGTGAAAGGGACACATCGAGTGGTTGCCACCCGCATGACCCAACCAGGGCCAGGGACAAACTGCAGCTGAGGTACATGCCCTTAGCGGGAACCGAACCCAGGCCTCCCTGGACCGCAGGCTGAAGCTCTACCGCTAAGCCAAACCGGCCAGGGCCCAGATGTATTCTTTAAGATTAAAATGATTAGGCTCTTCCGTCAAGATGGCATTGTAGGTAAACATAATATTCACCGCCTGAAATCTGGCTGAATGGAAGTTCTACAACTAGGGAATTAAAGAAGAAGCCACACTGAGACTGCTAGGAGGGGTGGAGACTTGGAACAGGCTGGTCCCACACCATGTGTGGCAGATAAAACTGTCAACTAATTTCTCAACAGAAACTTTGCAGGCCAGAAGGGATTGGCAAGAAACATTTTAAGTGTTGGAAACCAAGGTACTACAGTCAAATTTACTCTACCCAGCAAAGCTATCATTTAGAATTGAAGGACAGATAGAGCTTTCTAGACAAGAAAAAGCTAAAGGAGCTCATCACCACCAAACCAGTATTATATGAAACATAAAAGGGTCTTCTTTAAGAAGAAGAAGAAAAAAATAAACAACAAAATTGCAACAAATACATATCTATCAGCAATTTAACCTAAAAAACAAAATGAATAAGCAGTGCAGAAACAGACTCATAGATATAGAAAACTTTTTGATGGTTGCCAGATGGGAGGGGACTTGGGGGGATGGGTGAAAAAGGTGAAGGGATTAAGAAGTATTGGTTGTTACAGAATAGTCATGGGGATGGATGTAAAGTACAGCATAGGGTATATGGCCAGTAATATTCTAATAACTATGTAAGGTGTCATATGGGTGTGGGATTTATCTGGATGATTATTAAGTAAGTTATATAATGTCTAATCAATGGGGCAAACACCTGAAACTAATACAATAAGGTATGTCAACTGTAATTTGAAAAAAAAAAAGATTAAAATGGTTAAAGTTGAAAATATTTTTTTGCTTTAATATAATAAACCCATAATTGTCTAAAAGATTTGATTAGAAAACATTTTCCTGACATTTTTAGTTAGCTAAAATTGTACTATGAATAAATAAGTATAATTACAGACTAATATTCTGAAGCTCATGATATACTATTTAGTATCTGAAGTAGAATTGACTTTCTTAAATATTCTGGGTAATTTCTATAATAACGCTGAAAAAAACTTTATGTATTGCTTGCCCTGCTCTGTGACTGTAAAGCAGAATGATTTTAGTATCCTCACTTACACTGCTTTCTGATTTATATAGATTAAAAAAACTAATTGATCCTCTTAAAGTTTTTATTCCTTCCAACTTAGTTACTGTGTGAGTATGAACATCTGTTTATGTTGTTGAGCCTTTTAATTTGTAGTAGAAAAATGGAAAAAAATCTTAAAAGTTAATCTTGAAACTATGACCTAAGTATTTACATTATATTAAGTGGTATGGTGTGCTGGTAGATTAAAACCAAATCTGTGCTTCCATGTTTTGAGTGCCTCTTTTTTAAAACTATGTCAGCATGGTAAGATTTATTAGGTAGTTTTAAATCCTCTGTTATGTTCCTGTATCATTAAAGCTCAAGGTCACAGATTTTAAAAGATTTATATCTCTACCTGATCATTCCTTATAGAAAGCCAAACTTTGTATTTTATTTTAAACGTAGTCTCTTTGTAGGAACTTGGACATGCTAAAAAATTTGAAATCTTTTTCAGTTGTTTTCCTCCAGGACCTGCACATTGGTATTAGGACTTTTCATATTGGACTTTTCTTTTTCTTTCAAAATTATCAGAGTAGTTATAGTTGCTTAAAATCCAAACTGTTGGAATCATGGATACCTTTTTGATTTCATCAACGTACTAGTCTAAAGGAATCTGCCCTTCAGAATGAAAATAGTTATTTTGTGTAAACCTTCAAATGTCCCTCTGATGGTAGTTTACTGAGTAAAAGATAGAAATTTAAATCAGAACACAATTTCTAAATTTGGTCAGTGTGTGTGCAGTTCATATGTAAAAGCAAACCTGTGGTATATCATAAAATGTTCCAAGACTCTCCTAGGAGCAGATTTCTTGTGAGGATTGTGAGTCTATGGGTTCTCATACGTTATTTATTATGGTACCTTATAAAAATATTGATTATGATCAAGAGCTGCCTAGTCAGGGTGGTCAGAACCTTTCTAGGTTGGTTAAACGTTCTACTTAAGTCTGATAGAAATGACATTTTTACCATCTTATCACCAAGTTTAGGTGAAATGACATCTACATATTTAATTGACTATTTGAAATTGAAAAATAGTAATATAGAGAATTTTCATATGCTGTACCAAATGCTTTTATTTCTTTTTATACTTTTATTCATTTAAATGGCTTTATTTAGTGATTTTCTAAAGTAGATCTTTTTATTTTGGGACTTTGAGTGCCCGCAAGCTATGATGACCCTTAATCATACTTTTATTCTTTACTCAATAGATTTTAATGTGCCCAGAACATGAAACAGAGAGAATAAACATGTACTGTGAATTATGTAGGAGGCCAGTTTGTCATCTCTGTAAGCTGGGTGGTAATCATTCCAATCACCGTGTAACCACTATGAGCAGTGCCTACAAAACATTAAAGGTAGGACTTCTTTTTGGTACTAAATTTTAATTCTTTATAACTTTATTTTACTTTATGCCTTTAACTTTTACTTTATAAAATCATGCTTGTTATGTGGTCTGTTTTACTGAAATGAGTTAACAGTGTGTAAATTGTTAATTAATGGTCTACTAATGTTAGGTTGTTAGGATTTCTGACAGGTAGTTCTTTGCCATACTGATGTGCCAGTTCTGAACTCTGAGGAAAAAGACACTTCATTATTATCCCCAAGTGAGCCCAATGCCTGTGACATTGTGTGTATGGGAATGTCACACTTTGAAGGACAGTAGCTATTTTAAAACACTTGATTCTTGTTGCTTGCTTATAGAATTATTATAAACTTTTTTTGTTTGTTTATTCTGGTGGGACTCTCACTAGCTATAACTGAGTTATTTCCTGTCTTTTAACCTTATACTATTTTTTTGTTTCGTTCTTTTTTATTTTTAACAGTATTTAAAAAGGAATTAATCCATGCATGAATCTACCACCCATTTAAATTTTTGTTTCTATCTTTAACAATATATCTATGCATTTTTGACCTGTATCGAATTTTTATTTATATATACTGGATTTTTTGTTTCTATTTTTTTAATCCTCACCTGAGGGTATGTTTTTATTGATTTTTTTAGAGAGAGAAGATGGCGGGGAGAGAAAAAGCGAAACATTGATGTGGGAGAGAAACATGGATCAGTTGCCTCTCGTACATGCCCTAACCAGGGGTCAAACCCATAATCTAGATATATGCCCTGACTGAGAATTGAACCCACAACCTTTTTTGGTGTATGCGACGTGCTCCAGCCAACTGAGCCACACCAGCAAGTGCCATCTATACAGTTTTATACTTTGCATTTTATATGTCTGTTGTGCTCAGTTTCCTTCTATATTGAGGATGTGGATTACAGGTATAATTGTTTTATTGTCATCTGCTGCTTCTGTCATTATATTTCTTTGTGATTTGTATTCCTCACTCCTTTGCATGCCTGGCAGTTTTTGGTTGGTTGCCAGGTACTGTTAATTTTTTTACCTAGTTGGGCACTGGATATTTTTGTATTCTATAGATGTTTTTGAGTTTTCTTCCAGTATGTGATTAAGTCATTTGGAAACAGTTGTTCCTCCTGAGCCTTGCTTTTAAACTTTCTTACGTGGGACAGAAGCAACATTTAGTTCTAGGGCTAATTTTAACTGGACTGTTGATGTAAAAAAAAACTTTCTTTCCTCTCCTCAATGCCGTATGAATTTAGTCTGGCGTGTAGGGGATAGACGCTGTTCCCCGTCTTGTGTGAGCTCCTGGAATTGTTCCCTCTGGGCCTGTTGGGTGGTTCTTTCCCTGGCCCTGGCAGTTCTCTCCCACATGTGAACTGAGCCATATTCTCCTAGACAAGGGGAACCCTTGTACATCTCTGGAGTTCCCTCTCTACCTACCTTTTCTTAGGAATTACACTTTACAAACTCGGGCCTTCCAGGACTCTCAGCTTCATCTTTTCAACTCTTCAGAAATCCTGGCCCGTTTGAGTCCTTTGCACCAGGCCTTGGGAACCTTCTCCCGGCAGTAAGCTGGGGGCAGCCATAGGCTCATCTTGTTTACCATCCCTCAGAGTTCTTTCTTTCTTGATGTCCAGTGTCTTGAGAGCTCCTTCATGTTTTCTGATGGATTTTTTAATATTTTTCAAATGGGAGAGAAAATCCAGTCGTCATTACTCAGTTCTGCCCTCCGGTGGTAGTATCACTGTTTATTAATTACATTTAACTTTGACACAATTTTTGTTCATTGCTTATTGGTTTGATGTTATACAAGTTGTTCAGAAATTTTATTCTTAACCTGGAGTTAAATCTTACACTTAAGATATTCTTTACATCTGTTGTTATTTCTGTCATATATATTTTAGACTTTTGTTGTTGTTAATTCTTACCTGAGGATATTTTCTCCCTTGATTTTTAGAAGGGATGGGGGAAGAGGACTTGGGGGGGGGGAGAGAGAAAAACATCGATGTGAGAGAGACACTTTGATTGGTTGCCTCTGGCAGGACCCCAGCTGGCGCTGGGGATCGAACCTGCAACCCAGGTACATGCCTTTGACCAGAAATGGAACCCGAGACCCTTTGGTCCGCTGGCCGATGCTCTAACTGCTGAGCAAAACCGGCCAGGGCTTGACCTGGCTTCTGATACAGGTAAACCATGTTGTAGTGTGTGGCCTCTCGGAATTATAACCAAGTTGTTTTGTGGATGGTGCCCTTGCAATTCTGGGAAGTACTATTACTTTTGGGTGAACTGGCCTAAATAGTTAATAACTGAGAGGAATGAGTCCTGCTTCTGGCAGTCTGTTAGATGACACCTGTATTTTTTTTTCTGCCATATAATCATATCTCCTATTAATCTCCAGACAGACAGAAATATGCACATGTACACACTCAAAATAGAGTGGCTCCATCTTATTTATAGCTTGCCTTTGTTTGTTGACTTGCTCTTCCAGAATAGGGACTGATATGGAGTCCTACCCCCTTCCCTCTGTTGGGAACCCCGCTTACCCTTTCCTCTGACCACCTTGCACTGCTAAGGCTTTGGAATTTGTTTACCCTGAAAAAGGGGCTGCACTTGAATATTCACCGTCTTTCCTCATCCTGGCCACCCCTAAAGACCAGGCCTCTCCAACTTTGTGTGTGTTAGTGTTTCTAGGATTTTTCAACTTCTCACATGGCTGTGCAGTTTCTCATTAAGGAGAGTTGGTTAGTAGCTCATCTTCAGTTTTCCACTCTACAATTATAGTTATAGTAATTAGTAATTACATTCTATTGAGGAATATTTCCTAAGGAATTATTCTTAGTTTTATTTTTCTTTATTTCTATAAATTTCTAGAAGGGAGTTAAGAATCTTGTTATGGCCCAGCCGGTATGGCTCAGTTGGTTGAGCATCGTCTTATGCACCAAGAGGTTGCCAGTTCAGTTCCTGGTCGGGGCACATGCCCGGGTTGTGGGCTTGATCCCCAGTGGAGGGTTGCAGGAAGCAGCTGATTAATCTCTAATCAAATGTTTGTATCTCTCCCTTTCTCCTTCTTTCTCTCTCTAAAATCAACAACAACAACAACAACAAAAAGAAGGTTGTTATGTATGTACTGTTATTTCTTCTAGAAGTATTGGGTTTATGATTTTAGACAAATGATTAGAAAGTGGGACCTAAGAAAGTACAAAATGTAAACATCCCTAGAAATAGTCCCCATTGAATGAGAAAGTAATATAGCTTCTGTATTTTAGGGTATGTGAAATTTGTTGTGAATAGTAGTATTTGCTGAAATAATTTGGCACTTGACTAAAATGTAACATTATATACCTTAACAGTTTATTCTGAACATTTCAGATATGTATAGCAAAGCTGATATCATCTTTGAAATTATATAACCCATGAGAGTAAAGGACAATACTGGTTATGTATTATTCTCCTAGCCTGCTCACATAAAAGGGTTTCAGGGAATCCATTGAATGAGTTTCTCTCTCTCTCTTCTCCTTTGTTTTATTAACTCTAGTGTTTCTTTGGGTACCTTTGATCGAGGACCTGATTAAAAGAGGGAGGCAGTGGTTCTCAAACTTTGGTGGGTATTAGAATCACCTGGAATACTTGATAAAACTACAGAAGTCAAGTCCTCTCCCACCTCAAGGAGCTTGGTCCCCTGTATTCTGTTTTCGCTGTCAGGAGATAGATACACACCAGCATTTGAGAACCACTGCTCTATGGGAGAGCTTTTGAGCAATTTTTGGGTCCTTGAGCAGTCAGCCTCTGGTCAGTTCCTAGAGAACTGGGGCCCTAATATAGCTAAAGGATCTAACACTGCTTCTCCCATAAATAAACTTCATGAAGGTAGGAGCATGGCTTTTGTTTTTCTTCTTCTTCATGTTTTACTTTCTCCTCAGTGCCTGGTGCTTATACTTTTTGGAGACCTATGAATAAATGATCACTGCTTCTTGGTTAAAACTGATCTAGTCTTAACAGACTGCCTGGGTCTGAGGGACAGAAGACTGGAGCTGTCCCAGATAAAGGCTATAATTGGCCAGAGACTGTCTAAGTGTTACAGCTCACTGGGAGTGACCCCTGGTGCTTTTAGACCTTACACCATATTTCTGAATTCCCATCTATTTTTCTGTAGCCTATCTTGTATTTCTAATTTAAGGTGTTTTAAAAGCAAGCCCTACTTCCATTTAAATGGCCAAATTCTTCTTGCTACTGTAGCTATAAAGAACGCCACCATCTGCACCCCCCACTCTGGTCCTAGCATGGACCTGACAGGGACATATTGGAGGAACTGCCATCTTGCAGCTTGGCACCAAGGAAGTACCTCTCAGCCTGTGGAATGGTGGTTCGTGTGCTGTGCAGGGAGGAGGTTCTCCCTCAGCTACTGACGACACAGTTTGTACTCAGTGAGCTTTGGTTTCTTCATCTGTAAAATGCTGGATTAAGACACACAAGATTTTCTGTCTATATCCTTTACATCCTACAGTTTCTTTCTTGATCTATTCTTACCTTTGGTCCTCAGAAATCTTGTTTCTTTGCCTGATGGAGGTTCTTCCTCTGTCTCTCCAGTGAGCCAATTAAGAAAACTCAGTGTCTGATTGCTGGGTGTTCCAAAGAATTAAAGACGACTCCTATCAGACCTGTCACTTGGATTTCTGCACATGTTTTCTTACCCTATTGCATGGTCTAAGTAAAAACAAATAGGAAGATGACATAGGTTGGAGGCTAACTTCTTAAATTCCTAACAGTTGGATCTCTGTCCCTTTTCTTTTCTAACCCCCGCTTTTCATTCAGGTCTTCAGCACTGACTTGGAAATGCTCAGAGCCTGTAAATGCTATAGCTTGGGAGGCGTTTTCTGGATGTTCTGATTCTTATTTAGATTGAATACATTGGTCTGTTATAACTCTGTACCATGGTGCTTCAGGGTTTTTTATGTTTAGTTTTTTAATACACTTAAGGAATGTTATGTTTTTCTTTCAGGGTTGGACTGGGGGATTGTACCAAAACCTATGATGTTATCTCTATGATAAACTACTAATTTCAAAATGGCTACTTTATAAACAAGTTATTCAGTAAGCTCTGGAAGCTTAATGAGTTCTACTTTTTATAAATCTATATTTGCATTATTGTGTATTATATAATTGTTTAATGAATATCTACACTGAGATGGGCTTTGAAGATTATTTTGGAACAGTCTTTGTTCCTATTTGTGTTGCGGGTGCGGATGGGGTGTGTGTATGAGAGTGAATTATAAAGTCTGATGGAAGGCCATACTATTTGAATTGCTACTTTTCCCTTTACTTAGGAGTCTTAGGAGGAAGAGTTCTGGGGGTGATATGAGCTATCAAAAATGTACTGCTTGTGTATTTAGGATCTTTGATTTGAGCATTAATTACTACCTTGTTCTTTATCTCAACCTGCTTTAATCTCTTATATATCATATCCTTGGACCTGTGTGCTCAAGTCCAGAAGGTATTTACCCTGGGTTAATAACTAATTGTCAGAGTTGGTTTTACAGTCTTTCCATCATAGGCTAAAGAAGAGAAGTACTGTATATTTAAAAAAAATTCTGCAAGGCCTGTGTTAAACTTCTACTTCTGCTTATTTGTGTTACTAATATGTTCCAACAGGAAAAGCTTTCAAAGGATATTGATTACCTTATTGGCAAGGAGAGCCAAGTGAAGAGTCAGATTTCTGAACTAAACTTGCTAATGAAGGAAACAGAGGTAAGTAATAACCTGGCTTGCATATTGATCTATATAACTATTTTTTCATTTATAAAAATTTGAGGGTAGTATATGAAGTGAGAGTACAAAGTAGTGTTAGATTTCACTTCTGCTTTTCTGGGACTAGGAAAACAAAGGTAAAATATAAATTACAATGCTGTGTGATCAGTGCTGTGATAGAGGTGAGTGATTAAATAACATTGGAGCACAGAGGAAAGTGACTCTTTATGTGACAGTTAAGGTCTCAAAAGTAGTAACGTGAGGGAAATATGATAGCTTTTGTAATTATCTATAGTTTACAAAATTAACAGATCACATTTGAAAAATGTACTATATATGGATAGAACTAGGTTTATTTAAAATTCCAGATATTCCTGCATATATACCTGGCACATATTCACCAAAAGAATTGTATTAGCATGTTCATAGCTGCATTATTTATAATATCCACAAAGCGGAAACTATCCAAATGTTTTTCAATAGTGGAATATAAATAGCAGTAAGAATGAGTATCTACAACTTTGTGCAACAATTTAGGTAAATTTTGCAATACTATTGAAAGATGCCAGATATAAAGGGCATACTTCGTGATTCTGTTCACAAAAAGTACCAAGAAAAGGTGAAAGTGATGATACTGTTAGAACTCAGGATAGGAGTTGTTGAAGACAAGGAGGATTAATGTCTGGGGAAGTTATAAGGGTGGCTTCTGGGATACTGGTAATGGTTTTTTATTTAATCTGGATGCTGGTAATATGGGCGTGTTTGCAAAGATTCATTGACCCTTTATACATATGTGCATTTTTCTGCTTGTGTATTATATTTCAATAAAAATTTAGAAAAATTTAAAGCATTTAGAAAATATAGTAAAAGAGGAAAAGATTGAGTTATTTTAAAATTTCAAATATTCATTTAATGCCTGTTTCTTTTTTCTCTTTGAAATAAATTGAAGAACCATTCATTACTCCTATGATTACTTTGAAAGTTATAGTTAAATATAAAAGTATCTTGACTAGTATGACACTGTTAACTTCCTGAAAAATTTTTTTCAAAGATGGGTTAAAATTGAGAAATTATGTGAATTAGCACTATATTACCAGTATTGCTTTTTAAAAAAAATATTCTTTTTCTGATATTCACTAATTCCATTCACTACCCTAAATTAGTTGTTTTTCCATGTAAGTTAAAAGTGAAATAAAAAAAAATTTTATTTATTTTTTATTTTTTTGTTATAGATGTTTCTCCTTTTCCCCCTATTGACACCCTCCTCCCAACCCCCCCCCCCCCAGCATTGTCATCTATGCCCATTGTTACGCATACATGCATATAAGTTCTGTGGTTTATCTCTTCCCTCCCCCACTCATGTCCCCCTCTTCTGAGGTTTGTCAGTCTGTGCCCTACTTCTATGTTTCTGGGTCTATTTTGTTCATTATATTCCACAAATAAGTGAGATCATGTGATATTTGTATTTCTCTGATTGACTTGTTTCACTTAGGATAATACTCTCCAGGTCCCTCCATGTCATATCAAAGGATAAGAGATCTTACTTTCTTATATCTGCATAGTATTCCATTGTGTATACGTACCACAACTTTTTTATCCACTTATCAATTGATGGACGCTTGGGCTGTTTCCAGATCTTAGCTATTGTAAATAGTGCCGCTATGAACATCAGGGTGCATATATTCTTTCTAATTGGTGTTTCAGGTTTCTTAGGGTAAATTCCTAGAAGTGGGATCACTGGGTCAAATGGCAATTCATTTTTTAACATTTTGAGGTAACGTCATATTGCTTTTCATAGTGGATCCATCAGTCTGCATTCCCACCAGCAGTGTACTAGAGTCCCCTTTTCTCCACAGCCTGGCCAGCACTTGTTTGATGATTTGTTGATGGCGGCCATTCTGACAGGTGTGAGGTGATACCTCATTGTTGTTTTAATTTGCATCTCTGTGATGATTAGTGATATTGAACTAATTTCTTCCTCTGTCTCTTGGCCATATGTATGTCCTGTTTGGAGAGGTGTCTTTTTAGGTCCTCTGCCCACTTTTTAATTGGATTCTTTGTCTTCCTTTTGTTGAGTCATATGAGTCTCTATATATTTGGAAATTAACCCCTTATCTGATGTATCATTGGCAGTTATGCTCTCCCATATAGTGGGTTCCCTTACCATTTTGATTGCTGTGCAGAAGTTTTTTAGTTTGATGCAGTCCCATGTGTTCATTTTTCCCTTTGTTTCTCTTGCCTTAGACATTGTATCAGTGAAAATTTTGCTGCGTGTGATGTCTGAAATTATGTTGCCTACATTTTCTTCTAGGATTTTTATGGATTCACAAGTCACATTTAAGTCTTTTATCCATTTTGAGTTTATTCTTGTGTATGGTATAAGTTGATGGTCTAGTTTCATTTTTTTGCATGTAGCTGTCCAATATTCCCAACACCATTTATTGAAGAGGGTATTTTTATGCTCTTGCCACCTTTGTCAAATATTAATTGAGCATAATGACTTGGGTTAGTTTCTGGGTTCTCTGTTCTGTTCCATTGATCTATATGCCTGTTCTTGTGCCAGTACCAGGCTGTTTTGATTACAATGGCTTTGTAGTATAACATGATATCCAGTATTGTGATTCCTCCTACTTTGTTCTTCTTTTTCAAGATTGCTGTGGCTACTTGTGGTCTTTTTTAGATCCATGTAAACGTTTAAAGTATTTGTTCTAGTTCTGTGAAATATGTCGTTGATATTTTGATAGGGTTTTCATTGAATCTATAAATTGCTTTGAGCACTATGGACATTTTAATTATGTTAATTCTTCCAATCTATGAACAAGGTATATGCTTCCACTTTTTTATATCTTCCTCTATTTCTTCTTTCAGTGACCTGTAGTTTTCTGTGAATAGGTCCTTTACAAAGTCTTTGGTTAAATTTATTCCTAGGTATCTTAATTTTTTTGCCGCAGTGGTAAATGGGATTGTTTTTTTAATTTTTCTTTCTGTGATTTTGTTGTTGGTGTATAAAAATGCCATCAATTTCTTGATGTTAATTTTGTATCTTGCTTCTTTGCCAGATGCATTTATTAAAACTAGTAGATTTTTGACTGAGTCTTTAGGGTGTTTTATGTACAATATCATATCATCTGCAAATAATGACAGTTTCACTTCTTCATTTCCAATTTGGATCCCTTTTATTTTTTCTTTATATCTAATTTCTGTGGCTAAGACTTCCAGTACTATGTTAAATGACAGTGGTGAAAGTGGGCTTCCCTGTCTTGTTCCTGTTCTTAAGGGAAATGCTTTTAGTTTTTACCCATTGAATATGATGTTGGCTGTAGGTTTTTCATATATGGCCTTTATTATGTCAAGATATGATCCCTCTATTCCCACATTGCTGAGCGTTTTTATAAGAAATGGGTGCTGGATTTTGTCAAATGCTTTTTCAGCATCTATTGATATGATCATACGGTTTTTATCTTTCATTTTGTTTATGTGGTGTATCACATTTATTGATTTGTGAGTATTGTACCATCCTTGCAGGATGAATCCCACTTGGTCATGATGAATAATTTTTTGATGTAATGCTGGATCCGATTTTGTTAAGGATTTCGGCATCTATGTTCATCAGGGATATTGGCCTGTAGTTTTTTTTCTTTGTAATGTCTTTATCTGGTTTTGGAATTAGGATTATGCTGGCCTCCCAAAATGAGTTTGGAAGTCTTCCTTCTTCTTGAATTTTTTGAAATAGTTTGAGGAGAATGGGTGTTAGTTCTTTTTTGAATGTTCAGTAAAACTCCCCCGTGTGGCTGTCCGGGTCTGGGCTTTTGTTTGCTGGAAGTTTCTTGACTACATCTTCAATTTCCTTAGTTGTTATTGGTCTGTTCAAGTTTTCTGTCTCTCCTGATTGAGTTTTGGGAGACTGTGTTTCTAGAAATTTGTCCATTTCGCCTTGATTGTCCAATTTGCTGGCATATAATTGTTTGTGGTAGGTTTTAATGATCTTTTGTATTTCTTTGCTGTCAGTTGTTTCTTGTCCTCTTTCGATTCTGATTTTGTTTATTTGGGTCCTCCTTTTTGTTTCTTGATGAGTCTGGCTGAGGGTCCATCAATCTTGTTTATCTTTTCAAAGAAACTGCTCTTTGTTTCAGTGATCTTTTGAATTGTTTTTTTTTAGTTTCTGTGTTATTTCTGCTCTGACTTTTACTATTTCTTTCCTTCTATTTGCTCTGTTTTGTTTGTTTGTTTTGTTTACTTACTAGTTCTTTAAGTTGTAGGGTTAGAAAGTCAATTAGGAATTTTTCTTGTTTCTTGAGGTAGGCCTGTAGTGCTATGAACTTCCCTCTCAGGACTGCTTTTACTGCATCCCATAGATTTTGTATTGTGTGTTCATTTTCATTGGTTTCTAGGAAGTTTTTAATTTCTTCATTGATCTCTTCGGTAACCCATTTGTTGTTTAATAACATGCTATTTAGCCTCCATGTGTTTGAATGTTTTTGTTGTAATTTATTTCTAGTTTCATGCCATTGTGATCTGAGAAAAGGCTTGATATGATTTCAATCTTCTTGAATTTGCAGAGATTTAGTTTGTGTCCTAACATGTGGTCTGTCTTTGAGAATGTCCCCTGTGCACTTGAGAATAATGTATATTCTGCAGCTTTGGAGTGAAAGTCTGTAAATATCAATTAAATCCCACTGATCTACTTGGTTATTTAAGAACTCTGTTTCCTAGTTAATTTTTTGTCTAGAAGATCCATCCAGTGGTTTCAGTGGGGTGTTAAAGTCACCCACTAAGATTGTGTTGCTATCGATCTCTCCCTTGAAGTCCTCCAGAAGTTTTTTAATATATTTTGGTGCTCCTGTATTTGGTGTATATCAAGGTTATATCCTCTTGTTGGATTGATCCATTTAATATTATGTAGTGACCTTCTTTTTCTCTTATGGCCCTTGTTTTTAAGTCTATTATCAGATATGAGTATTGCTACACCAGCTTTTTTTAAATTTCCATTTGCCTGGAAAAAAATTTTTTATTTCTTCACTTTTATTCTGCATGAGTCTTTTGTTGTGAGATGGGTCTCTTGTAGACAGCATATATATGGTTCCTGTCTTCTTATGCAATAAGGCATTATGTCTTTTTTTTTTTTTTTTTTAATCCTCATCTGAGGACATTTTTCCATTTTTTGTACAGACAGACTGGGAGGGAGAGAGAGGAAGAGAGAGAGAGGGAAACATCGATGTGAAAGGGACACATCGAGTGGCTGCCACCCGCACGACCAACCAGGGCCGGGGACAAACTGCAACCGAGGTACATGCCCTTAGCGGGAACCGAACCCAGGTCTCTCCGGACCGCAGGCGGACGCTCCAACCGCTGAGCCAAACCGGCCAGGGCGCATTATGTCTTTTGATTGAAGCATTTAAGCCATTTACATTTAAAGTTATTATTGATAGATACTTATTAGTTGCCATTTTTATTTTATGCCTGTGCTCTCTCTCTCTTTATTTCTTCTTCTTTTTTTTTATTTTTATTTTTTTTTAATCCTCACCCGAGGACATTTTCCCATTTTTTGTACAGATAGAGTGGGAGGGAGAGAGAGGAAGAGAGAGAGAGAGAGAGAGAGAGAGAGAGAAACATCGATGTGAAAGGGACACATCGAGTGGCTGCCACCCGCACGACCAACCAGGGCCGGGGACAAACTGCAACCGAAGTACGTGCCCCTAGCGGGAACTGAACCCGGGTCTCTCCAGACCACAGGCCGACGCTCTAACCGCTGAGCCAAACCGGCCAGGGCTATTTCTTCTTCTTATAGTAGTCCCTTTAGCATTTCTTGCAGTGCTGGTTTGGTGATGATAAATTCCCCCAGCTTTCTTTTTGTCTGTGAAGTTATTTATTTCACCTTCAATTTTGAATGATAGCCTTGCTGGATGGAGTAGTCTTGGATTCAGTCCCTTGACTTTCATTACTTTTGTATACTTCATGCCACTCCCTTCTGGCCTGCAATGTTTCTATTGAGAAATCAGCTGACAGTTTAATGGGAGCTCCAATTTTCTGTCTCTCTTTTGCCTCCTTTAAGATTCTTTCTTTGTCTTTAATGTTTGCCATTTTAATTATGATGTGTTTATCTGTGGGTGTTTTGGGGTTCATCTTGCTTGGGACTCTGTGTTTCCTGGACTAGTGTGACTTTTTCCTTCACCAAATTAGGGAAGTTTTCTGTCATTATTTCTTCAAACAGGTTCTCTATTCCTTTCTGTGATTCTTCTCTTTCTGGTACCCCTATGATGTGAATATGGTTACATTTTGTATTGTTCCAAAACTCCCTTAAACTCTCCTCCTGCTTTTTAATTTTTTTCCCCATTTGCTACTCTATTTGTTTTTTTTTTTTTACCTTGTCTTCTAACTCGCTGATTCAGTCTTCAGCTTCTTCTAATCTACTATTGAATCCTTCTAAGGTATTTTTCATATCAGGTATGTTCTTCTTTATTTCCTCTTGATTTTTATTCATAGCTTCTACCTCTTTTAAAACACTTTTTTTTTTCTTTATTAATTTTTAGAGAGAGAGGAAGGGAATGGGAGAGAGAGATAGAAACATTGATGAGAGAAAACATTGGTTGGCCGCCTCCTGCATGCTTCTCACTGGGGATTTGGCCCACAACGTGGGCCTGTGCCCTGAGTGGAAATTGAACTGGTGACCTCTTGGTGCATGGGTCCATGCTCAACCAGTGAGCCACACTGGCCAGGTCTACCTCTGTTTTTAAGCTGATGTAGTTTACACTGAGCTCTTCATAAATCTCATTAAGTTGCTTGTAGTTCTTAATAATTGTTTGAGCGCCCTTAGGATCATTGTTTTGAATTCTTTATCTGACAAATTGCTTTCTTCCGTTTTATGTAGTTCTTTTTCTTTCATTTGGGTGTTGTTTCTTTGTCTCACCATTTTAGCCATCTAGTAAGTTCTAGGCCTGGTGAGGGATTTTGGGATGCGTAGGCAGGTTGTGTTTATCAAATAAGGCTGCTGTACCTCCCAGACTGTTTTGGTGTGTGGCGCCTCTAGCCTGCTGTGGATCCTGGAGGATTGACAACTGGCGGCTGCTATTGGTTTGTCATGGTAGGCACTGCTGCAGCATATGGGTCCAGCCAGTGTGCTGCTGAGGTGCGTGTGTCCCACTGGTGTGCTGTTGGGGCACTTTGGTCTTGCCGGTTTACTGCTGGGGTGCGTGGATTATGCTGATGCCTTGCTGGGGTGCATGAGTCCTCCCGGTGTGCTTCTGGGGTGCATGGGTCCCACTGGCATTCTGCTGTTTAGAGTGGGGCTCCACTCCTGCCTAGTCACTGCTGCTGTGGGGGAAGATGCTGGGCTCCCAACTGGCCTTACTGCTGCTTGGGGTGGTTCTTGGCTCTGATCAGGTTGCTGCTGTAAAGGGATGGTGCTCGGCTCTGATCAGGCTGCTGCTGTGGGGGACGGTGCTTGACTCCTGGCCAGTTGTGGCTTCCATAGCAGGCACCTTGACAGTGCCGCTACCATGCGCTGGTCCGCAATGACACAGCGGGGTCCACTGGGCCGATGGTGCGAGGCACTCTGGTGGACTCAGGTCGCTTGGCCCTAGCTGCTACTGCTGCCTCCTCCCAGAGAAGACCAGGGATCTTCCAGAATGGTGTGCCTTCCAGTGGCGCAGGGAGAAGCGCCCTGACAAGCTGCTTACTGCAGTAGCCAGCTACTCCCTGTGCACAACACAGGAACCCTCTGCCCCACATTTCTGCACTGCTCAAGGTTGCTCGTCCACACTCATGTCCACTCACACTCTCACTCACACTCTCACACACTCACCCTCGCTCCAGTCCTGCCCACCGCCATCTTATAGACCCCGGAATTTTGTTTTTATATTTTTGTCTGATTGGTATTACCCCTAACCCATAACAAGTTATCCCATTTATTAGGTTGCTTTAGGGATCATGTCTTGGGTTATCTTAGGTTTGTTTTTCTCTGCTGGTTCTCAGTCATGCTGCTCTTCTGAAATAAGGGACACCCAATACACGCTCGGGAGTTTTTCAGTCACTACATTGAAAATCGAGGAACTCAGGCATCAGTTCTTCATGTGGTGTAGACACTGATTCCTTGGGATCTTAGAGAAATTATTTAGTTTATTTATTTATTTTTATCCTCACCTGAGGACATTTTTGCATTTATCTTCAGATAGAGCGGAGGGGGAGAGGGAGGAAGAGAGAGAGAGAGAAACATCAACTGGTTGCCACCCACACAACCCCAGTGAGGGCCAGGGACAAACTGCAACCTAGGTACGTGCCCCTATCGGGAACCGAACTCAGGTCTCTCTGGTCCATGGGCTGATGTTCTAACTGCTGAGCCAAACTAGCCAGGGCTATTTAGTTTATTTTTGTACCTTTGACCTAAGCAGCATTTGTAGTCTTATCAGTAAGAATTTTCTACAATAGAGAATTTATCTCTATTTTTTATTTTTACTCAGTGATAACTGTGATACCATCTTTTTATCTATAATAATATTTAGATGGGAAAAAAGCTCTTTCTTACATATATTGATATTTCTGAATTTAATGTCTTGATAGGTCATTGAAATACTACCCAAATGTCACCATCCTCTGTCTTCCCGCCTGATCCATTTTTAAATATTTGGTTGTTGGGGTTAGGAAACAGAAGGGAATCTGGAAACATTTTTCTCTCATTATAAATACTGGCCAGAAATCATTGGAAAATGCACAGTGCACTTCTATAATGTATTGTCAGCTTTTAAGAATGTTCTTGGAGCCTTTTTCTATTGGCTGCTGCTTAGGGTCTGTTATGATGAGTGCCCTGATGGCCTTATCTCTGATTTTATTAAAGTTAGAAATGTTTAATAAGCACTACAGTTAAGATCATTTCTTGACAAAGTAGGGGAATACTCGTGTTGTACAGTGAAAATGATGTTTATTAAGAGTATGTGACATTGCGGTGGGCATTTTATGTAAATAATCTTTTTCCATCTTCAAAAATACTCCAAACCTAAATGGTTTCTCTTATCTCCAGTTGTTAGAAGAGAAAAACTCAAGCATAAAGAATTTAAGTAATTTGCACAAAGTCACATAGGATTTATATAATTAAATTATATTATTTGAAGAGTTGCATTTTTATATCTTGGTAAAGGATGTCATTTTACTGAGTTTCATGGCTCTGCTTTACTTTTTTAAAAAACTGGAATAGGGTAGAAATAGTAAAAAAAAAAATCTTAATTAGAAATGGATGAAAAAGTCCAGAATTGTATTTTCATGTGTTTTTGGTTGAATCAGTTAATTTCTGCTTCAGTTTCCTGTGTATTCAAATTGAAGGTTATTTTCTTATTTAGTTAAATACCTCATTTATTGTTGGACTTTGGAGATTAAAAGTTTAAGGAAGGTACGATGCTATAAATTACAATGTATGTCTAAATAAAAGTTGTGAATCATTCCTTGCTGATCATTCCTTGATGTCAAATTTTAGAGTCAGACAGAATTTATTTTCTTTACAATATTTGGGTTTGTTTTGTTGAATTTTGGTTATTTTGTGAAAAGACATTGGGATTTAGCAGATGAGATAATGCTTTCCTTGTTTTATGATAGTGTAATGGAGAAAGGGCTAAAGAAGATGCTATTACACATTTTGAAAAGCTCTTTGACATTCTAGAAGAGAGAAAATCATCTGTTTTGAAAGCAATCGATGCTTCGAAGAAACTCAGATTAGACAAATTTCAGACTCAAATGGAAGAATATCAGGGACTTTTAGAGAATAATGGACTTGTGGGATATGCTCAAGAAGTGCTTAAGGAGACGGATCAGTCTTGCTTCGTACAGACAGCCAAACAACTCCACCTCAGGTATCTTACTTTTCACCTAGGATCTCCTTAGCAGTGTCATTCACTACTGCTGTTCATTCCACTTTAGCTCCAAGTGGTTCATTCATAATGCCGCTGTTATGTGAAGTGTCTTTTGCTTCATGCTTAACTTCAATGTTGAGTGAGGTTTTCCTTTGTTAATCATATTGCAGATACTAGTCTGATTTACCTTTTTTAACAAATCATTTTTATATAAATTATATCTGTCTGCAGAATACAGAAAGCTACAGAATCTTTGAAGAGCTTTAGACCTGCGGCCCAGACTTCTTTTGAAGACTATGTTGTTAATACATCTAAACAAACAGAACTTCTTGGAGAATTGTCCTTTTTCTCTAGTGGTAAGTTTTATTAATGGCAAAACCACATTCTTTTAGTCTGAATTTGAACTGTGTAGAAAAAGCACAAGTTCTCTTCAGTTGAACATTATGAAGCAGCATCTCAGTTGCCCAGAACCATGATAATTTAAATCATACTGTATCTGTGTTTTTGAAACCATGCTCGGCTGGTGTGGCTCAGTGGATTGAGTGTGTTATCCCATGGACTGAGAGGTCCATTCAATTTCCAGTCAGGGTACATGTCCGGGTTGTGCGCTCAATCCCCAATGGAGGGTGTGCAGAAGGCAACTGATAGATGTTTCTCTCTCACCTCAATGTTTCTATTTCTCTCTTCCTGTTTCTCAAAAAAAACCCCAAAAAACCAATAAATGCATATTTAAAAAAACGTGTTTTTACACACAAAGCTCTATTCTGTTGGTTTGTGTTTTTAAACATTGTGTAAATGGTATCAAATTAATTGTATATATTCTTTTTGTAAATTGCTTTTTTTAAAAATTAAGTTTAAGGTAGATATTTGTTAATACAGAAAGTTTTGGTTTAAAACTATATTTTAACTATTTATAGTATTTCATTATGTAAATCATTTCCCTACTGAGAGAAAATGGTTTCTATTTTTTCTTTTATTGTATAAAACAATGTTGTATTGAACATCTTCGTCAGTGGTGGTTGTGCACATGTGTGTGAGTTTCTCTAGGGTAGAAACCTAGATATCCTCAGGCTAAAATTGACTCTAAGATGATTGTTTATCTTGCTGTATTACTTTGCTAGGGCTGCTAAAATAATATATCTAGAGTGGGTGCCTTAAACAACTGAAATTTATTTTCTTACAATTATGGAGGCTGGAAGATCAAGGTGTTGGCAGGGTTGGTTTCTTCAGAGGCCTTTTTTTGTTGGGCTTGCAGATGGTCATCTTTCTGTGTCTCATGTGGTCTTCTGTCGATACATATCTGTTTCTAAATTTCTTATCAGAACACCAGTCATATTAGTCATATTGGATTACGGCCCACTCTAATGACCTTATTTTAACTTATCCTTTTTAAAGACCTATTTCCAATAAAGTCACATTCTGAGGTGCTGGGGATCAGAACTTCACATGAATTTTGGGGAGACTCAATTCAGCCAATAAGACTGCTTATGTTTGTGTTTCGCTGCTCCCCAGAAGGGCGTTCTACCTTTCCTCTTTATTTTCTCACCTTTGCATTCCCCTCAGATGTTTCGTCTAGTGATGGTGAACAATTACATGCCTTAGAAAGGTATACTTATAGTCTAATTATTATATAGGTATACATATATGGATTTGTACATTCAATCAAAGAAAATTTGTCTTGTTAAAAGTTAAAAACTCTGAAGAAGCCCTGGCCGGTTTGGCTCAGTGGTTAGAACATCAGCCTGCGGTCCAGAGAGACCTGGGTTCGGTTCCTGCTAAGGGTACGTACCTCGGTTGTAGTTTGTCCCTGGCCCAAGTGTGGGAGGCAGCCATTCGATGTGTCCCTTACACATTGATGTTTCTCTCTTTCTTTCTCTTCCTCTCTCTCTCTCCCACTCAATCTGAACAAAAAATGGAAAAATGTCCTCGAGTGAGCATAAACAAAAACAAAACTCTGAAGAATTATTACTGTGACTTTCTTTTCAAAATTATACCTGAATTTCCTTTCAGATATATGCTCATCTTGTTTATTATGACAGTCTTGTTTTTCAAGTATTATATTTGTTACTCTTTCAAATGCTGATTCTACTTCACTTTACTATACTCCCCTTTTTTCCAAAAGGTATACTTGAATTGTTTTTCAGATAGCTAGTTTACTTAGGAGTACAAGGGCCTCCCTCCCCTGGGGATCCCAAAATAGTCTTTGGAAAGATAAGTTGGGAGTGGGTAATCTTGGGTTATCCCAGTGTATAACAGTGGAAAGTAGGCACCCAACTTCTGGCTGATGGATGATGTTCTTCTCTCTTTTCTTTTTCTGAATGCACATTTTTAAAATAAGCTATGTTTCAAAAAAAGAGAGGGATGTGGGGTGGGCCATACTAGTCTTGTTATTTTCGATTTAGTGTTTTTTTTTTTTTTCACTCTAAAATATATTTTGGATATAGATCTCATTATGATTGCATAAATGTACCATACCCAAACATGCTTATTCATTGATACATATAACTAGGGGATAAGAAGAGGGAGACTTCTGCTTTCCATTTCATATACATCTCTGTGATTTGATAAAAATGTGTTAGTTTATGTACGTGTGTGTGTGTGTGTGTGTGTGTGTGTGTGTGCGCATGCATGTATAACTTTTATAGGCTATTCTAAACCATATGACCCAAATAGTTAAATTTACTGGGATTGTTTTATGGAAAGCATTATGGATATGCACAAGGATTTAGTTGTAATATTTTAACCATTGTATATTTAGTGGAAAATTAGAAGCATATTTTTAAAAATAGTTAAATGTTGATTATCCCTACAGTGGAATGTCACTGGGAGAAAAATACTGGTAGTAGCTGCACAAAATTATTGTAGTGATTATCTTTGAGTTACTTAAAAATTTTTTATGCATGTTTTATGTAGTTTCTAATTTTTTTTACAAAAATCATGTTTATGCTAAGAAAAATATATTTAAATTTGTTTGCAACTCTATGGAAAACATATGAAAGAAATATTTATTAAAATCATTGTTCTAGCCCTGGCTGATTTTGCTCAGTGGTTAGAGTGTTGGTCCATGGACCAGAGAGTCCCGGGTTCGGTTCCTGCTAAGGGCATATACGTCAGTTGCAGCTTGTCCTCGGCCCCATGGAATTGTGTAGGTGGCAACCAGTCGATGTGTCTCTCTCTCATCGATGTTTCTCTCTTTCTTCCTCCCTCTCTCCTTTCTACTCTATCTGAAGATAAATGCAAAAATGTCCTCAAGTGAGGATTAAAAAAAAATTGTTTCTAGGAGGACACAAATTAACATTTTAAAGTTGAGGGTTGTTATTCAGTAGGTGAAAATTGAAGGCATATAGTTAAATTTTTTATTTATACTGTTGCAGAATCAATGTAATATCTAAAGCTAAAATTGAGTCTTTCAATATTTGTCTTAATTTTCATTCTTCTTTCCCTTTTTAGTTAAAAATGCAAATATACCTTTTTGAAATCTCTGTTTTATTGTTTTTTGTAACAAACTTCCATGAGACTTTATCCTTTTAGCAGATTTTAAGTGTGCATACAGTAGTTGACTAGGTCCAGTGTGTACTGCAGATCTCTAGAGCTTATTCATCTTGCTTAACTGGAACTTTATGCCTGTCGATTAATAACTGCCCATTTCTCCCTCCCCCAGCCCTGGTAACCACCATTCCAGTCTTTGATTTTATGATTTGACTGTTTTAGATGACTCTATCATGCTGCAATGTTTAACTTTCTGTGCCTGGCTTATTTCACTTAGCATGTCTGAAGTGTCCATCCATGTTGTTGCATACACAGGAATTATTCTTTTTCTTATACATTGAATTACAAATTCAGAAAATGGAACAGTACAGAAGTCATTTAAGTATTGTCAGGACAGTTTTATTGAGGTAGAACATAGGTCCTTTAATAACAGTATTTTAACATTGTTTTCTATTTCATAATTCTTTCAGGCATAGATGTGCCAGAGATCAATGAGGAAGAGAGCAAAGTTTATAACAATGCTTTGATAAGTTGGCACCATCCAGAAAAGGATAAAGCTGATAGCTATGTCCTCGAATATCGGAAGATTAATAGAGATGAAGAGATGTTGTCTTGGAATGAGATAGAAGTTTGTGGCACAAATAAAGTTATTTCAGAACTTGAGAGTAACTGTAACTACGCTTTCAGAGTACGAGCCTACAAGGGTTCAATCTGTAGTCCTTGCAGCAGAGAACTGATTCTTCATACTCCTCCAGCTCCAGGTATTGTAACCACTGGGAATAAAAAGAGCATAGCATTGGAAGAGACCTTGGTAAAAATAGTCAGTGTCTCGATGTAGACCTACAGTGAAAGCAGCTCTCATTTGTCAAACATTCTAGAAAAGTAGATACCATACCCAGATAGGATTTACATATAGACTGATTACATGAACATCACCATGTAGGCTGATGTTTTACTGATATCAAGTAGATAAAAACATTAAAGGTGGATATTTGAGAGATCAAGTTTATTAATTTGGGATTAAAATAGCATAAATGCTACCTTACAAGTTTTAAATAGTATAATTTATATTTTTTATCATTTTATAGAACTCTCTAGAACATAGGATCTAGACAGATATTTTTAAAATGTATGGGTATAATATGAAATATAATTAGCCTAACTTAGATTTGTCTGGATTTTCTAACACAGTGATTCCCAGCACATGGGGATATATTGGAACCACATGGATAGCTTTCTCCCCATATTAAAACTTCCCCTGCCCAGCCACCTTGCTCCCCCTTTCAAGTTAAACCCACTGATACTACTTGCAGGTTGTCTTTAGATTTTTGTAGCATGGGAATGATTCACAGGGTAGTTGATGCTCACTACAATGTCTACCTGGATAAGGGATGCTGAGACCAAGGCTGTGCCTATGGTGGTTCACAGGCAGACATTTCGCCCTGTTGGTCTCTGCCTTAGAGGCTCTGTCAGTTGGTCTCTGGACCCCATTGGCCCTGCCCATTTTTAGTCGCTTATGTATCCTTATTTTGTGCAGTCTGTCGTCCTTCCTTCCCTTTTTGTTCAAAGTATACTTATCCACTATTTGTTTTTGATACACACTGTGGCTAATTTTTTTTAATCCTCACCCACGGACATTTTTTGATATTTTGTTCAGATAGAGTGGGAGGGGGAGAGAGAGAGAGAAACATTGACGTGAAAGGGACATATTGAGTGGTTGCCACCTGCACCACCCAACAAGGGCCAGGGACAAACTGCAACCGAGGTCCGCGCCCCTACGGGAACTGAACCCGGGTCTCTCTGGACCGCAGGCCGACGCTCTAACCGCTGAGCCAAACCGGCCAGGGCACTGTGGCTAATTTTTAAAAAATTAGGATACAAATAAATGGGATTGGCTGAAATTATTTTTCTTGAATCATAATAAAATCCAATAGAGAGTTTTAGAATGGATTTGCAGTTGCTAAGTAAGTATTTTGTAGTTTATGCAGTCTTGGCTTTCTTTTCGTCTCTGACCGAAAGTGGGAGCCTGACAGGAGCTACTGTTTTCAGTCCATGGAGGAGGGGGACGGAAGAAAGGAAGTGTTAAAGGTTGTCTTCCTTTCCTCAGAGAAGCTATATGAACAGGGCGACCACTTAAATTTATTTCGCATACTGGGAGACTTTTGAGATCAAAAGGAAGCATGAATGACTTACCACATTGGCACAATAGGCATTACCAGGAAGAAGGGATGGTCAGTTATATATGGAGAATGGTTTTAGCTTGCCAGTAGGCAATTTGGAAAATTGTGGTATAATATAGTTAAAATTTACCATTTTAACCATTTTTAAGTGTACAGGTCAGTAGCACTAAGTACACTAACAATGTTGTGCGAACCACCACCACTCACATCTCTAGAATTTTTCATTCTTTTCAAACTGAAACTCTGTGCCCGTTAAATAGTGACTCCCCAGTCTCCCTCCCTGCAGAGCCTGGTAACCTCTGTTCTTTCTCCTCTATGAATCTGCCTATTCTAGTTACCTCATAGAAATAGATTCAGTTTTTTTGTGACTGGCAGATTTCAAGGTTCATCCATGTAGCACAGCTATCAGAATTTTCTTCCTTGTTTAGTCTGAGTAATATTCCAGAGAGAGAGAGAGAGAGAGAGAGCGAGCGAGGAGAGAGAGAGAATAAACCACATTTTCTTTATCCATTCATCTGCTAATGGACATTTGGATTGTCCCCAATTTCTGGACTGGCAGCTAATGTTACACTTAATGGATGTGAGTTGATACTTACGAGAAGTGATGTTCTCTCCATTTTCTAGCTGAGGACATGAAAGTTTAGGTTAAACTCTAGTTAAATGCTTGAGCAGGCATTCAAACCCGTATCTCTCTGAACACAGAGCCTGTGCTTGCTTTTTTTACACTGTACACTTTTTCCATGTCTGCTATGATGAATAAAGAAAAGGTGTTATTAAAATTGCTGTTATTTTTCAAATTTATAATATTTGGGGTAAATATTTAAGAAACTATATAGATAATTATGAAAATATACAATCCTTTATTTTAGGGGTAAAAGATCCACTAGTGTGAAATACTTAGGATAGATTTGCTATACCTATTCCAAGGAACCACATTCATAAGGTTTCTCATATTTAAAATATTTTCTTCTGCCTTTGAGGTTACTAAAGATTTTCAGGTATAGAGGATTTACTGGAAGTTATCTCTAAGTTGGGGTTTTGGTTCGTCATAGTTTGGTATAGGGTAGTATGATACTTCTTGTCTCTTTTCAGTGCTTTCTATTTGAAAAACTTATCATATTTAACTGTAAATTATAGAAATGCTTAAAACATATTTCTTAGACCAATTTTAAACTTTATTTACAGTTTTCAATTTTCTCTTTGATGAAAAATGTGGCTATAATAATGAACACCTCTTGCTGAACTTGAAGAGAGACCGTGTAGAGAGTAGAGCTGGATTTAACCTTCTGCTCGCTGCGGAACGTATCCAAGTGGGTTGTTACACAAGCTTAGACTACATCATTGGAGATGTTGGAATTACAAAAGGGAAACACTTTTGGGCCTTCCGTGTGGAACCGTATTCTTACCTGGTGAAAGCGGGAGTTGCCTCCAGTGATAAACTGCAAGAGTGGCTTCGTTCTCCCCGGGATGCAGTTAGTCCAAGGTACATTAGTTTTTACTGATCTGGAACTTGATCATTTTTAAAAATGTAAAGATGCTTGTTTAGCAAGATAAGCTTGAAAATAGACCTGGGTTTTCTTATTATATTTCCAGTATACTTCTTAGATTCAGGAGTTTTGGCCATGCTTATGTGGTTGGCTAAGAAAAGGAGTCAGGTTTCTTTATTCACACAGGAAATAAGGAGAATTAGCAATTAATTTATGATGCCATGAGTAAATACGTCTGTTTTGGAGACCTCTTAATTAGGATATAGCTTTGCAGTTTTAAATTTTGAAAGTCACATCAGTTGCCTTAATTATGTGATAAAAACTATGTATACAGTGAAATGCATCTAATTGCCATACTGCACAATTGATATTAGGTTGTTGTTTTGTTTTGGGATGAAGTTTTCTTTAAATGTACCATAAATACTTTACAGAATTGGGTCTTGCTCAGCATGTTTCCACAGCAAAGAATTTCAGTTTCTTAAGAGATTGACTAGTGGAGATAATGCAGTTTAATTTTTTTAGATGGTGTAAGGTAAATTAGCCCAGACAAAAAAATTTTCACCACTTACATGAAGAATCCCAGGTTAACCATCTGAGTAATAGGAAACATTTTTGCACAAAGATTAGAAATTGACATACAATGAAAATTGTATTAGAGAAATGGTTAATTAAACATAGTGGCATGTCCACTTGATAGATTATTAGTATTAATCTTATTTAAAAAGTGTATAACATGAGGAATGTTAGAAGTTAAAAAAACTTATTAAAATGGTTGATGTCGTATGATCACAAATATATGAAAAGCAAACTGAGCATAGGAAAAAAATGGAAGGAACTTTTTATCAAAGTTTCTATAAGCTTCTACTGTTTTATACCACAAGGACAAAAACCTTCCTAATATTTGCTACATCGTAGGTCTGTATAGACTTCCCAGTTGGGAACTAGAGTTCTTTGGAGGAGAATGAAACATGCTTTTTCCTCCTGCATTATCATGCACTGCCTGTATATTTACTTTGTAATTCCTTGGATTGGGGCACACATCTTGGTTTTATATTTTCTTACTTATGGTTGTGTGCTGTAAATATTTTAATCTTTGACAAGTCCTTTAGTCCTTGTCCCCTGCTTTATTTTTGATAGGCCAAAGTTATTTTTTAGATTCTCATCTGTGTATATATCTAGGTAAAAGTGAATGATATTTTAAGACAGAATTTGGGGTGAATGTGTTGGTGTCATTCTGAATGGCAATGTGTAATGTTTTTGTTTTAATAAGTTTTTGATACATCATTTATTTTAATGTTAAATCAGTGTATGTTGTCTTGTAAAATGTTTCACAGATACTTGAAGGCCTATGGATAATGATGTAAGATTCTGCTTTGTGTTTCAGATATGAGCAAGACAGTGGACATGACAGCGGAAGTGAAGATGCCTGTTTTGATTCTTCACAACGCTTTACATTAGTTACTATAGGCATGAAGAAATTTTTTATACCCAAGTCACCTACTTCTTCTAATGAACCTGAAAATAGAGTTCTTCCCATGCCAACAAGCATAGGGATTTTCCTTGACTATGATAAAGGCAAAGTGGGTTTCTACGACATGGATCACATGAAATGCCTTTATGAGCGCCAAGTGGACTGTTCGCACACGATGTATCCAGCATTTGCATTAATGGGCAGTGGAGGAATTCAGCTGGAAGAATCCATCACCGCAAAATATTTAGAATATCAAGAGGACCTGTAATTTAAGCATCTGATGTGATTTAGAAGGAAACATGTAGGCAGAATAATGCCTTGGTATTAACCTTCATAACTAATTACATGTCATCCAAGTATTCTGTCGCCACACTTGTTTTTTGTGTATGCTTCTTCTTAAAACACAGAAAACCTAAACAGCCTTTCCTCTTCCATGTCGCTCTTCTGCCTTTCAAAAACAACAGGAAAAAGGCGCTCTTTCCTACTTAACACTGAAATGGTTAACTGGGTTGTCTTTCTTTCTTTATGAACAGGGAATCTTATTTATGTTAGCTGGTGTTGCTGATACATTCCTTTTGGGGGGGAGGTCCATACAAATGTATTTATTATACCTCTTTTGTGTTTGTTTTTCATTTCTATATTATGTTTATGTCCTAAGAGAAGATGTTTTTTAAATGCCTTATGGATAGAAATTAGTAGTACTAAGCATTGTGTCTTGCATTTGTTTTTAAAAGGTATAGATACGGAAAAAGAAAAAAAGCCTGGAGAAATGGCAATATATTTAAATGGAAAATTATGTATTTTGAGGTGTGTAAATAATATTGCCTGGAAAATGAATATTGCTGGGGTTTTTTAAAAGACCATAAACTGTATTCTTAAGGACATTTAAAAGATTTTCTTAGCTGTAATGCTCATACGTGCATGTATAAGTAAACATGGTTTCTTGCAGGAAACACAAAGTTAGTGGTAACACATGAAGCTCTTCATTTTATATAGTTTTTTTTTTTCAGAAAAATGTGTCCAGTTTTTCTTATTGCTCTTATGAAAATATTTGCACATTATGTTAAATAATTATTTTTCATAAATATCAGAGAAGATAGATTGATAATTGGTCATATTTGTTTTTTTAATCCCCTCTTGTGTCTTGTGATTTTTATTTTTTGGCATAAATATTACATATCAGATTGTCCTGGTTTATGTTTACATTTTTTTTTTTTAATCCTCATCTGAGGATACTTTTCCATTTATCTTCAGATAGAGTGGGAGGGAGAGAGACAGACAGACAGACAAACATCGATGTGAGAGAGACACATCGATTGGTTGCCTCCTACACGACCCCAACCAGGGCTGGGGACCGAACTGCAACAGAGGTATGTGCCCTTGATTCGAATCGAACCCATGACTCTTTGGTCTGCGGGCCGACCCTTACCGCTGAGCCAAACTGGCCAGGGTTGTTTACATTTTTTAAAAGTTCATGATCTATTTTTAGTCTTATTAGATATAAAATGTGGAATAATTTTATGGCAATTATTGTGGCTCATTGTTGGGTAATGAGAATTGGTAATAATAAGAAGCAAGTAAAAATACAGATTTAATTGTTTAGGAGTAATAATGAGAATCATGATTGTATCCTTTCAAAATTTATCTTAAATTTTATGTTTACTTTTGAAGAGTCTTTCCTTAGGTTGTTTTATTTAAACTGGTTGGTTTTTTGAAGTTAAAATGTTAGAAACTAGACTTGTGCATTAGCACTCATCATTATGAAATGCTTGTGACATATTTTAATAGACTAACAAAAACTTTTAGGCCTTTTAATTATATATATAATGGAAATGTGTTAATTCAGGCTCATAGCATAAATTATTTCCCCCTCACAACCCAAATATGGAGAATTTCATTGTTCAGGCGGCTTTGTTTCTTTCCCACCAATGAGTAGCACTTTATGACATAGGCTCAACTAAACAAATATGTGGTGTTATGTGGATCACTGTGCAATAGAACTGCTGACGTCACCTGGGTGGTAAAGTTTGATAATCGAAAGCCTGTGTAAGCACATATCATGTAGACATTTTAAATATAAAGCTTTAATAGGTATGGGAAAGCTGTTTCAAACATTGTATAGTTGTATATAAATTGTTCTGGATTTCTTTCATTTTTAATAAAAATTAAAAGTAAGTCAAGTGTAATTATTGAAAATGTTATTCCAGGAATTCTCAGTATGTTTATATGGAATATGGAAGCAAATATTTATGAAAAGATGTTTGGCTGAATATATTAACTTAGCTAAAATTTTATGTAAAGTTATTTCGGGCATTTATTAGCTTTAATTCTTGTGGAAGTCGTGATTATTAGAAAAGTGTAATGTGAAACTAATTTGCTTCAATTAATTCATCAATTTCTCTAATTTTTCTGACTCATAATGGATCAGATTTAGATCTGATGAGTGGCCCTTCACATTTCTACTCTGGATATGGGGCTCTGGTAGTTGTGGTTCATTGTGGGTCACAGTGAGCTATTCCTATGATACTGTATAATAACTTCTCATATTTACAGTTGCTTTGCTTGGAAGTTGTAAGAGCCAGAGCTATCTCCTGGGGATTGAAAACAATCTGGTCCTGTTAAATCTTTTGCCATAGCCCATTGTCTGATTAGGCCCTGAGAGTTGTTCCATGTGGGAATATAATCCATTGTTGTATTGCTACAGAAAACAATTGAGCACCAGTGTTATGGGCAAGAATACTCTTAAATTGTGTTCTACCAGATAAATGTGCATTCATTTTAAAGGTGTTTATGGGATTAACATCCTGAGACTTGGAGGGTTTTCTTGGAACTATTTTGCTTTAAAAAATAAATCTGAAAGAATTTCAGTTTTTTAAATTCAGTTTGGAAGGACTTCATTTCACAAAAAGTTTTTAACTCTTGCTCTGTATGAGACACTGTGCTGTGAACTGGATATACAGTGAACAGGGCAGTCTAGCTAGGTTCCTGTTTTTAGGAGCTCCATTTCTAGGAAGGAGAAATGATAAAAATGGAAGGGACCAAAGAGCGTTTGAGGTGGGAGCTAATATTAGATACGGTGATCATGGAACCCTACTCAGGAAGTGATACACGTTTCACACCTGATTGCTAACGAGCTGGCCATACAAAGAGGTAAGTGAAGAGCTAAGAGCCGGCTAGGTAGATGAAACACAAAATGCACAAAGGCTTTAAGATAATGAATTGGTCAGGTTTCTGGTAGGAAAGAGAATTCACCTTGGATGGTTCAACTGAAAAGAAATTAATGCAAGGATTGCTTAGCGAAAAGGGCAACCTTAAAGGAAGAAAGAAGCAGTGGTGAGCCATGGAAAAACTAGCCACAGCCTGAAACCAGTACCGCATTTAGAGCTCACGGGGAAAGCGGGACTAGATCTCAAGGAGAGGGAGAACAGGAACAAAGGGTTACTTGGTGGGAGCTGGGGGTTGCCACGGGAGGTGCCAAAACAGTGAAGGATCAGGAAGAAATAGCCTCCACCTGATCTGATCTGCCGGTGCAGCCTGCTGACCAAACCCCACCGGAAGCCAGCCAGTAAGGGCTTTCTTCTAGAGATGCATGCGGCAGGGGTCGCCGTCCTGGGGCAGAGGGGGAAAGCAGGCACCTGGTGGTGGTTGTGGGGCAGCATAAATGACATTAACAAGTGGGAAGGGGTTTGGTGTATTTGAGGGGGAAGGGAGGCTGTTGGCCTTTGTGCTTGCTGACTGCTTACATAAGGGTATTTATACTATTCTGAGATGTTAAAACACACTCAGAAAGAAGACTTAGGGAGCTATGCCCCTTTTTCCTTTCAGCTTTCTGGTGTTTCTCTTCCCTGCCGACCATTCTATGCAGTGATGATCTGGGGCTGGTGGCGTTGCTTCTTTTCTGAGTTTGCCATCTCTTTGGAATAGAAAAGAATAAGTGCTGTGGTTAAGAAAAAAGTGGCCCTAAAGTTCTGACTAGACTGATGCCCGCATGTAGAAGTAAGATTGTAGAATACTGTCCAAAAGAAAAGAAATGGAAGTGTGCTGTGCATGAATCAGGCAACCATCTGACTGCCTGTGGATAATTACAAAATACTTTTCCATAACATTCTTTCGTTTCCCCTAGATTTCTTTGTTTAACCTATCTGAACTCGATGGTTTGTTTTTTAAATGCCACCACTGCTTGCTTTTAGAAGACCTAAAAAGAGTTCCTTGGTGTTTATGTTGGCGCGTGATTCAAGTGTCGTCTGAGTCTGCTGACCAGCCCGGCTACATGACTGCCTCTGGAGGTCTGCTCTCTCTTCTTGTGAGGCTTGGTCTCCTGAGAAGAGTCTTTTAAGAGACAAAAGTCTTTTAAGAGAGAGCTGATATTCTTTGAAATAGTAAGCCTGTTGTGTAATCTTAAGACTATTGGAGCAATCTGATTTTCTAACTTTCCTAGGTTAGGTGGTAAGGACTGTTAGCTTCTGTAAAAATATTTTATATATTTTCAAAATAATATCTATATTATGTATGTATATTTTCAAAATATCTGTATAACACCTCTTATTTGTTTTCCCCACTTGGATTCTTTGTACCCTAGAAGGTCCCTCCATTTATTTAAGTAAAGCACCTCTGATAATATGGAAATAATTGTAGTTCAGAAATTATTTTCCTGATAAAATTTCACAGGTTAACTGTTGTGCTGATAACTTTGAAATGCAAGCATTTGAATTATTTCTTGGAGCGTATCTAATATGCCTTAAGTTTTTTGCGTGATAGGGAATTCTAAAAACATTTTTAAAATGTAAAGTTTGGTACATGTTGATACATGTTGGTACAGGGTGATCTAACAGGTTTATAGGTTTGGGGGGCAGGAGAGGACTCCATGAGCAAATGAGTCTGGGTGATGCTCTGTTAAGCAACATCAAACATTTTATTTTGCAGAAATTCTCTCGGCATTTGGTGCCCATTGACTGAAGCTCACAGGGAGAGCGCGTTCCAGGGAATATACGGACGGACAGAGTAGTTGTGGTTAGTGGGATTTTTGGTTTGGATTTATATCTAAGGTTCGTCATTTAATAGATGTGTGATCTTAGACTAGTTGTTTACCTGTGAGCTCCATCTTATCTGTAAAATAGTTCTAGTGGTATGAACTTCAGGGAAATTAGATAAAGTATATGAAGGACTTAACACAGTGTCTGGTGTGTTAAATTACTCTATGGTGGCTTCACATATACATTACCAGCATTTCCAAAAGTAGTATTTAACCTCCTAAGAGACCTTTTACAAATGATGAGAATGTATTTGAATACAGAGTTGTACTAGGGTAGTCATAAGTCATACTATATATTTGACTGCTGTTATTTGCTTATAATGCCCAAAAACAAACTGGAGAGATATATGAATAATTAACTTGAAGTATAATTTAACCAGTCAGATAAAAATTAAATCCAGTTTTTTTGTTTTGTGTGGAATCAAGGTAATATAATCCAGGTGTATTTCTTATTACATAACAATTAGCAAGAGCTCATAAAAGTTGCAAGAAAAAGACTTAGGTGGCCTGTGTCAAGTGTCAGAGTCTCAGGTAAACTTAGTTCCTGATAGATTTCCCCTTGGCTCCTGGAACCTGCTCGTGGTCTTGTTATTGAGAAGCAGCAGGCATGTGGAGCAGAGCTTCTAACCTGTCATCATGTAACGTCCATAGGAGTTCCCTGGGAATCTTGTTGAAATGCAGAATTTAATTCAGTAGGGCTGAGGTGGGGCAGGAGAGTCTGCATTGCTAACCAGCTCCAGGTGAAGCTAATGCTGCGAATCCCAGATCACAGGAGGAGTAGCCCGGCTTCAGAGGGCCAAAGGGTTCCTCCCTGCTGTGTGTCGGGAGCCTGGAGAGGAGGTACCAGAGCATAAACTACATTTTCGTGAAAATTTAGCCAGTGGAAGTGGAATGGGAACTGTCATCTGAAGTAGGCCTCGTGATATTTACAGGTAAGGCCAGAATTATCTCTCAAGCTTTGAATCAGCTTGGGTGCTTGGGCAAACATTTAATAATTGAAACTCCCCCAAATGCTGTGTCACACAGTAAGACATATTACAGAGATATTGTGGGGTTGTTTCCAGACCCCCATAGTAAAGTGAGTATTGCAATAAAGCAAGCCATAATCTTCTGGCTGGTGGAGGGGGTCTTGCCTTCAATATGTAAAAAATGCATCTGTGAAGCACAATGCAGT